AGGACCTTGAGAAGAGTTGAATGTTTCTTGTTCATGTTTGGGTTTTTTTTTTTTCAAATTAGGTTCCGAAAGTTTAAGATTTTGGGTTTTTGATGACTATAGTTTGACAAGAAACAGGTTTCTGTTGGGAAAGTCTTGTGTTTTGTTTCTGAGAAGTTTCGGTAATTTAGTTTCTGTAGGAAAGTAAAAAGTGAAGGTCGCAAACGAGTATTAGTTTTGTACTTTAACTTTTGTCTTTTGAATTTTGATTATATTCTTTTTTTTTAACCAAAAAAAAAAATCAATATTCCCATCTTTTCAATTTTCTTAGTATTTTTTTTATATGGTGAATAAAATGAATAATTTTTATTATTAATAAGGTTTTAAAAGTTACTTAATAAGGATGAAAAATAAATAAATAAATTATAAATTAATTTAAAATTATAATGTTTAATTTAATTTGAATCGATTTTTTATTTAATTTAAATTAAATTTAAATATTAAATATATATATCAAATTTAAATTAATTTTAAATCAGAGGTGAAAAATTAAAAAAAAATCGAATTAAATTATATATAATTTTTTAATTTATATATATTGTAAAATTTTATAAATAAAAATAATAATTTTATATCAAAATTTACTTAAATATATTAAAATAATATATAAAAAATATAAAAAACTTGTAAATCAAATGAAACTGATAAAATTGAATTTAATTTGGTTTAGATTGAACAAAAATTCGATTTGAATTTGAATCAAATCTTAAACTTTTATAATATTATGTAATATCCAAAAAAATTAAATCAAATTTGATCCAAACCATTATTACAACTATTTAATAAAATGTTTTTTTCTTTTGACAAGAATCAAGGAAAAAGAAAGTTATTAAATTTAAAATAAATGATATAAATCCAATTTTAAGTTAAAAACTTTATTTTAGAGTTTGAACAGGAAAAATTTGGTGAGCTTATTAAATTAATTGATTTATTGATGTGTAAATGACACTTAACCTACAAAATTTTATCCATTTTAATTTTAAGATCATTAAAACTCATTAAACAAATATTTTAATTTTTATTCCAAGGCCAAAACCAAAGAGAAATTGCTATCAATTGCTTCACTTTCACCAAGTCAACATCTCATTTTTTTTCTTCTCCTTATAGCAATCAAGACCATTTGGTGCATAAAATTGAGTAAATTAGGGAAACATCCCATGACTCTCTTTGACATACTCTTTGCTAAAATTAACGAGTTCATAAGACAAAACAAGAACCAGAAAATCCAGGCTAAGACCAGCTTATTGACCCATTGAGCTTTTATTAGCTGATGAAATTGGTGAGACCTTTTGCAACTTTGAAGTTTTGATTTTTCATTTTTGTGAAAGATGATAAATTCTAAATCTGAAGATTTATTTATATATTCTCATAGTATAAAATATTAAAATTTATATATTTATACCATATTTTATTAAACTCATATTAAATTATTATTAAAATTTTAAATTATATCATCGTAACCTTTATTCAATTCTTGTTTATATTATATCACCGTGTTTTTCCTAGATTTAACAGACTCTACTCATGTTTTTTTTTTTAAATCAATCTTGAGATCCAAATCTTTTTCATGCTTTGACTATTTGATCCATAAACACAAAAGAACAATCACAAGATATCTTAGACCAAACAAATAGGGAATGGATCCATCAGATGCATGTACCGCTTGCATACCTACAAAAATAAAAGATAAAGAATTAGCTGCTGCTGCTTGGAGGGCGAGAAAGCTACAGAAAAAAAGTAATATTTGCAGCAAGCACTCTTACAGCAACAGCTTCAAGCTAATTGATATCCAAGCAATGTGATAGAAAAAGGGGAGGGGGGGGGGCAAAATGGTTGCGAGCAGGCCGACTCTTCTACAGTGTCAAAACAATAAATAAATGGCGATAAGCATAGCCGTTAGCGGGGCAATGACACAGGCAGCAACTTTAGGCTGTCCATTTGGTGATGTTGGGGCTGTTGCAGCACCAGACAGATTAGAAGTTGGGGTTTTTGCAGCAACAGGAGGCAATGGGGGCTCAACAACATCTCCCTCGGTCAGGTAAGGGTTTGGAGCTTCAGCTGGTGGCAAGTATGGAAGTGTGATTAGTAGCCAAAGACCACCAGGCTGAACGGGGCTCATGTAACCAGGTATTTTACTGCCTCTGTTCAAGCATCGGTTCCCTAAAAACAGATTATCACATCAATACCAGTCTGTAACATAGAAAAAAGTCGGTAGTCCAATGCGATGAAAATTTTATTGTTTCAGCATATAGTAGTACCAAATTTCAACCAGCAGGCACTTACTGCGGTATCTATCAGATGTCTTTGGGAAATCAGTAATGACACCATTAATTCCGGCTCCCATATAGAAGGAATTGATCTCAACAGTAGCATCAGAGAAGAAGTCCCATGCTTGAGATGTGAACTCGTTACTGAAGGTTTGAACAAATACAGAGAGATTAGCTGCTTGAAGTCTTGGTACAACATTTGTAACACCAGTGAGGAATGCTGCATTTTTGGGAAAGACGGAGTCCTTGCTAATGACCACAGCGCTAGCAAGTCTCTTAATATCATCAATTGTTCCACTTGGAGCACCACCGATATCTTCATCAACCTTGTAGACAAGCTTATAGTTGGTTTTACCCTTGAACTTCTTTAGAACAGAGCTATTACTGGACTGTATCATAACTGTCTGAGCTGTCTGTTCATCATAGCCGGCTTTGCTCAAGGCATTAAGCACTGCATCAGTTACACCAAATCCCTGCTCTGAAAGATAAGGAGCATTCTGAAAGGAATAAACAAGTCAAATGTGTCAAATATCTTTATAGATATTCCTGTTATGTTATCAAGGAAGAAACCATTTGAAATACAGATGTACAGAATTTATAGCTATTCACTAGCTCACGATTGTCATTATTGAAGATTTTAAGCAAATATTTTGCTACCCATAAAAGGGAAATAATCATGAAGATTACTCTTTTCAGTATCTATGAAGTTAGAAGATAGCCTTTCTGTCTCTATTAACATTATTTTGCAAGTTCAAACCAAATATGTTACATTAAATAGAAGAGAAGACAGTATTTCATCATTTGGAAAACAAAGTAAAGGTTTTTAAATCTTGAGTAACATTCAATTATGATAAGCATTAAAAGTTCTGGAAACCCTAGAATTAGTGAACTTTAGAGTGATTTAGGCAATGTATATATAGATGTCAAGTTCATAATGGTGACAGCTTCTTATGAAACTATGTTTCTGTGTTTCTTTGATCATTTGGCTCAATATATTTCCACGACATAACCCACAGCTACTGTAGTTAGGATTAGGACTCAATCTGATATGTTTCTCAGAATAATTAAGATACCATGCTAACAGTACCCCCTGGCATGACAGATAACCATTGCCACCATTTATAGTGCCTAGCCTCTTAACATCCATCATTAGGTTCAATAATGTAAGTAAAATAAAAATTATGGCAGTAAATTCCAATTGAAGAAACTCGAAGAGGAAATATACAGAATGGCAAGAACTGACCTCTATGCCGATTAAGACACCATGAAGAGAGCTAGCATTCTTTGCCATGGCTAAAAAGTCAGACAACGTTAAGAATTTTCCAGCATTTTTCAACTTCGGATTTCGAAACAATTGGAAATCTGATTGTGGACTTGATATTACGGCTACAGTGAAGTAATGATAGATTAAAACAGGGATGTTGAAAAAAAGTTGATGCCATTTATATCTATTTAAGAAATAAGAAGCCAGCTAAAATCTCAGCAACTAAAACACAGATTTAGATGATATAGAAAAGTAAATAAAACTAACAAAGTACTGTATTAAAGGAAACATTATCTCCCAAAGCAAGGTTTTATTCATGCCCCATCAATATGGCTAAGGGTAACAATCTTTCAAGGACAGAAAAAAAAAACATGAAAAGCATCCATAAAGCATCACAAAGTTTACAAATCCACTCAACGTGATATACAAACTTCAATCTATACTGAGTTAGACAACCTTAATTTTCAACATGTTATGTTTCTAAAAAGATTAAAGATTCTAGACATCCCAGCCGGCCCAAAAGAAAAAAAAGCAAAAGTTCAGTACAATAAAGAACAGGCAAATGAGCAATAAATTCAACTTACGTGTCAAGCTTTGAATATCACTCCATGACAGGTTGAAGGTAAATATTCCACTGCCTTGCCCAATCTCTGGAATTGTTGCTGTAAGATTGCTAAAACTTGATTGAGCAATTGTTGTGCTATCTATCAGATTTATAGAGCCCAAGCAAATAGGTGTTCCATCCCCTGTCATTTGAACAGGACAGTCGAGAACATCTACACCATCTTCAATTGCTTTTAAATATGCCAAGTCAGTACAACCAGGAAAGTCTCCACTCGCTCCATTTTTTGAGATGACCAAAAGGTCCGCTGTTGCATGCCGGCGAAAGAAAATAGGTTACAATGAACCTTATAACAATTGTTGGTGCCTTAAAACACACAATCTCATGACCATTACCAATAATTCTCAGCTATTAAAAAAAAAATCCCATCAGAAGCATTGTATAACAACATACCTTGTTTTGAAGCATTTTTCCCTAGGTGTGCAAAGCAATCTGCAATAAGAAACTAAAGTTAACATCTCAATGTTCTTACCTATTAGAACCAAAAGATATTGGTATCTGGTGAAAATAATAAAACCTTCCTTCCTTTCCATGATCAAACTAAGTTATTGTGTAGGGCATGTCAGACCAAGAAAGTAAAGAGAGATAGAAAAGGCAGACATAGTTTTGCTTCACCATCTTATTCATATTATGCAACTATAGCATGAAGCAGCATGAGGCAACAATGGAGAAAAAAAGCTAACAAAGTGCAAGATTCTTAATTGTACCCTTTTAGTCATAATGCAGGATATACTCCCTAATTTATGAAAACCAAAAGACAATCCCAAGAAGGCACCACAAGCCACCCCAACAAGTAAGTATCCTTGAGAATGATTTGAGTTTGACGATAACTTAACTTAAAAGGTAAATATCAGTGTATGAGATGCAAAAAAAAAAAAAAAAAAATTGAAGAAATCTATGAGGATTCACATTGCATATACAAGCCAATATATAACTTACCTAGAGCTGCTGATGGAGTTATTGGGAAGTCAGATATCACCCCATCAACAGAGAAGTTTCCATTGTCAACAAACTTAAGATACTCAGCCACTGGATCATAGGAGTAACTGAAGCTAAATGGAACATCATTATAAAATTCTGATGCAAAAACTTCAAGCCTTTCTTTGTGAGCATCCAAGACAACTGAGGTAGAAGGTAGCAAGTAAAGACTTCCATCTACAGGCCATATATAAGACTTGGGTACAATGATTCCAGAGGCAAATGTCTTGATAAATGTGAGATTTTTTAAGAGAGAATCATAAGTCTGGTTGGTTGAAGGCTCCACATCGTTCTGTCCTAGAAACCGGAAGACAAGCTTTGTTGCGCTTCTTCGGAAACGTTCTGCAATACTTTGCAAGAAAGCCACCTCCGGTGATGAGATATAGTCAACGGTTACATTCACATTTCTGGTTACAGAAAGTACAAAGTTTCTCATACTCAAGTTGTGTTGTGCATAGAAAGCATCATGCTGCAAAAATTAAAAGACATTCAATTAAATCTAGAAACAGGAAGATGAAGTTCTACTAATTTAACAAGGGGACAAGAGGAGACAAGAGGGGGAAAAAGTAAGAAGAATGCATTATTAAGCATTAATCAATCCTTTACCTGAATATTCAACCAAAAGCCAGGTGGTTTAAATTGTGTATATGTATCCTGAACAGTCATAATTGTGTAACCATTGCCATCAAACTTATTAGTTCGAGAATAGACACCTTGAGTTACTGCCCAAATAACAAATAACACGTTAGAATGTGACACATCAAACAAATAGCAAAAAACAAAAAGAATTTACTACAAGTACATTCCAGAGCAAGTGATGCCAAACAAACTTATCAAAAAAATGCTGAACTTTACTAGGTAATAATCTTGGCAAGACAGCTAGCAGCATGTCAAAATTCAGAATTAATTACCTGATTGCTCGTAAAATTGCTTGAAATGGGTTCATAGTGGTTAGGAAATAAGTTAGTGTTGTTGAAATATTGACTCAAATCCCATAAGAGATTTGTTTGGGATTGGTTAGATATTGCTTAATGGACAAAAAGACTTGCAAAAGAAGAATTCTAAGAGAAAAGAGATTCTTAATAGATAAGTTTGTATGCTTATAAATAGGTGAAATCTCTATAGATTAGGTATTAAAAAAGATATAAGAGAGTTACAGGGTTTTATGAGATAGACACCCCTTAGGACTAGCAGAGATTAATGTCTTTATGAGTGTGTATGTTGAAGTGGAAATTAAAGGAGACTGAGATAGTTCACATAGATATGGGTGCATGAGTGTATATGGATATATGTTTGTTTGAGTTGAGAATATTCTATAAGATTAGAAGAGATTGAGAGAATCTTATAAGTATTGATAATTGAGTGAAGTTGATATAATTTGTATGTTTGTAATTCTCAACAACTAGTAGATCTTATTTCTCATCCGTGGACATAAATCAGTTAGACCGAATCACGTTAAATTATAGTCTCTTGTGTATTTGATTGATCATTTGTTTTTGCTTTCGCTAACTTGATTGGATTGAGGTCTTTTGGCCTAACAAATGTTCTATAATTCAAAACTAAAAACTAATTTTGACACCATTAAGATGAACTTGGCACTCACAACTTCCTTAACTCTCCATCAAGCAAAGTTTGTGAAGATAATGATAATAATGAGAGTAATGAAAGATGCTGAAAACATTGATGATGACAGGAAAAAAGACAAAGAGGGTAAACTGTCAGCCGAACTTACAGATGACATTTCTGAGATCCTTGAGAGTGTAATCGATAGCAAACCATCCCTTGGTAGAGGCCCCATTAACAAGGTAAGCCTTCTGCTGATTCTCGTAAACCACTGCAATATCCGAATTATTGTCTAGCTTAAGATCAGGAAAGCAAATCCCAGCTGCATCTTTTGTTAATTGCACATCACACCACAAGATCACATCAGGTGGACCAGTTGACAAAGCCAAACTATAAGCATCAACACTGGAGTCTGCAAATATTCCAGAAAATCCACCACGTGCTATGACAAAGGGCGCATTCCCTGCAAAAGGAATCAAACGGTTTAGGCTTATTGAACAACATAAATTAAAAAGTGAGATAAACTTTACCAAATTTTGGTCCACTATGAATGCTAATATTAAATGCTTTTATGCATCCATAGACTGAAATGTCGTAGCTCACTATGCTGCCAGGAGAGGATATTGGAATTTTAAACTGCCCTAAAGTTATTATATTTTTTCATATATAACTTCCATTGGAAAATACATGGAAAGGGTACCATCCATGGGCGGACCTAATTCCAACATTTGTCATCAATGTTCTTCATAACAAAGCAAAGTTTAGAAATTTTTTTAGTTAACCTATTCAATAGAGGAAGAAGAACCATAATAAGCTTTTTTATATAGAAATAAAAGAACTTTACCTTTCTAAATTTGTTTATCCATTCTTTTAATAAGAAACAAAAAAGAAATTATTAAATCTCATTTAATAAAGAAAAACCATTTTAATTTAAGAAGGAAGAGTCAAAATACAAAGCAAAAATATTCAAAGAAGTAAATCACAAAAGACTTGAAGCTGCATTTTCCATCAATCTGTCAACAAAAATCGCAAATTTCTAACTCGTGAATAGATGAAATGAATAGAAGACTCAAAAATAGGCTTCCATTTCAAGGAAACCAAAAACAATAAACATTAAAAAGACTAAAAAGAAAAAAAAAAACTGCATTTTATGGTTATTTCTAATGCATCCACTTCCTCAGAAACCAAAGTCGAAATAATAACTAAATTTCAAATAAAGGATCATAAATAGATAAGGAGAAAGGGAAAATTAAAAAAAAAAAAAAGAAAAGATTTCCACTTTGCGAAGCATGGAAGTTGGAAATCAATCAAAACATGCATTTTACTCATCAATCTTCCACTTTTTGTAGGAAAGAAAGAGACATTAGATAAAATTTTCTTTTATAAGGAAAACCCTGGAAAGTTTTTTTTTTTTTTTTTCAGAATCGTGAAGTTTTCTCTTTATCTTTCCTCCGATTTTCTTTACAGACAGACAGAAAATGTTTAAGAAAAAAAAAGTGAAGCTCAAACCAGTAAAGTTTGAGCAATTTTCTTACCATTTTCCTTTCTTGGAAACGTGAAACTAGCTAAATTCAAAGGTAACGCAAGAAAAATCAGCTTCAACGAATCCTGCTCAAGGCTCAAGCAGCTCGAAGTTAGCTTAGTTTTAGCAATTTTCTCATTATTTCCTTCACTTTCGAGGAAACCAAACGAAAACTAGCCAACAATTAAGCTAAACATTGGAAAATCTGAAAATGGTTCCAGCTCAACAAGCTATTTCCTCAACATTGCCTCCTCTTTCTCAGCAACCAAACAGAAAACTAGCTAAAAAATCAAACAAGAAACTATAACCGAAAAAAAAAACTTTTCTCTCATCACTTAATTAATTTAGAAAAAAAGAAAATAAAGAAAGAATCTACAGAAAGAAACGAACCGCTCAGAGTCTGCCAACGAGAAAGATTAGTAGATCCTTTAGCAGAAACCAAAGCTACTGAAGCTAACAAAGCTTGAACTACAAAAACGGCAATCGAAATGCCACGTAAGCTTCGCATTGCCGGAAACATCTCCTCCGCTGACAACTCAGCTCACCTCCTCCACTGATCTCCGCCGCCGATTTACTCCTTCGTAAACTGTGCAAGATTAGAAAGAGAAAAATACTGAACATTTTAGGCTGGCTGTTATGTTGGTTTCAGTATTTAAATTATTCAATTGTAATTAATTAAAATTATTTAATTGTGATTTTTAGTTAATTAAATGAGCTTTTGAGTTTTTCTCCACCGACTTACGCGTTGTCCTAAGCTCGGCTCGAGCCTGTCCAAGGAAGGTTCACGGCTTTTCAGAGGTTTTTGTCCTAAGCTGTGGGACAAGGATTGAGTGTAATCGCTTCCACACGATTATGATGAACCCCAAAAATTTTTATATTTGTGGTTTTGATTTTTTTTTACTTTATTTAATCATTTAAAAATAAATATGGTAATTTAAAATGTGATATAAAAATAATAAAAAATAACATAAAAATAATTTAATTTAAAATTTTAAAAAAATTATATATAAATTTAATAAATTTAATAAATATATTTTATATTTTCATATCAATATAAATAATATATAATTTTTTATATAAAATATTATATAAATATATAAATTATTTATATTTTATACTATATAAATATATAAATATATAAATTTATTTAAAATTGAATTTATATTTAATCACGTACAAGAGAATTATTACAAGAATAAATTTAAAGTTACATTTGACTTTCATTTTGAAAAAAATTTTTGGGTTATTGATAAACTGATAAAGACAGAACGAAAATTGTAGAAAAATAATGATAGTAATTATAGATAATATGATAAAAAAATTAATAATTATATATAATGAGGAAAATTTCATTTAAGTCGGTGTAAATGTTATATTTTTTAATTATTGAATTTAGATTAAAACAAAATGTTTTATATAACACTTATTCTGATATAATTAAATTTCTACTGATATATTTTAATATAATATTTTGTACAAAAAATTATAAATCAATTTATTTGACAAGAAAATAGTCAATTTTTATTGTCATTTAAATCAGGGTCCCATTTTTTGTAAAGGGCAATGCCGGAGTTTTGAATTCATGTGAAAAATATATATTTTTTAAATTATTTAAAAAATAAGTAAAATTTAAAAACATCCGTAATTAAAAAAATTGTTTTTTGAATTTTATTTTATTTTTAAATGATACCTCATTTGCCTAACGATGCACATTATTTTTTTTAATTTAATATTTTAAAAATAATATAATAATATAATATAAATATAATATGATTTAAAAATAAAACTAAGATAATTTAAAATTTTAATAATTATTATATATAATTTTTAAAAAATAAAAATATATATTATATTTTTTGTATCAATATAAATTTTTGTATATAATTTTTATATAAAATATAATATAAATATATAAATTTTTATATTTTATATAACACTAATTTTTTTTTTCTGTTATTTCTCCCTTTGGCAGCATCCTTATTGTCTTTCTTTCATCCAATGAAATTATTATGCATAGTGATTATGACATCGAAATTTCAGAAACTTAGATCAGACTCTTTCTCAGTGAAGATTTTCCTCTGCCAAATTCATGATGAATATGCTGGTCCAAAAATTTAATGGCCATCAAAACCTATAATAATAGCTGCAAATGTTCTGGCCTGCACCAATTATAGGGACAGCCAGCTCATCCCAGGCCCCAGCCACTGAATTACTGGACTGAACCAATCAAAGAAATGGACCCATTTTTGTCCCATGGCTGGAGCCTCCAACCCGAGCCAGCAATTTGATGGGGTTAGTCATGAGTGGGGGTGCACCAAGCCACCAAGTTTCCGATTGGAGGACAGCTAGATGGGATCAACAACAACATGGTTATTAAGCAAGTTCCACGTGGGATAAGCCAATTCGTTGCCCGCCACCGCGAGGTCACCGAAACGCGCAAAATGCTCATGATCCAACTGGAGTGATAATGATTGCATTCGAATCGATTCAATTTTTTAAATATAATATAATATAAAAATTTTAAAATTTTGATTTAAATTTAAATTAAATTTTTTTATGATTCAAATCAATTTGATTATTAATAAGTGATTTGTTTAATCAATTAGATTTATTTTTTTCGATGAAAAAATTTTTTTTTCGAGTCTTATCGATAGTTATTTATTGAAATTATTTTAAATATATGATCTACAATCACTTGTTTTAAATTGTCAAATACGACACATCTTATATTGATTTGAAGGATTGAGCAACTTATCTATCATCAAATTTTTTATGAACAAAAAAAATCAATTGGATTAAATTTTATTGATTTAATTTAATTTAATTTATCAATTTTTGAATTTTATTATTTTTATATATTTAAATAGATTTTAATATAAATTTTTATTTTTATTTTATAAAAATTTAAAAAATTTAATAAAGATTAATAAAAATAAATAATTCAATTTGATTTAATTTTTAATTTTTTAATTTGAAATTAAATTCAAAATATAATATATATACATTTAATATTTAAATTTAATTCTAAATAAAAAATCAAATTAAATATTATAATTTCAAATTAATCTTTTATTTTTTGATTTTTTTTCACCCTTACTCTAATGTAGGATACTGAGATCCCACCACAAGGAAGAAAAAAAATGACTAAGATTTGCAGCAAATTGTGGCAATTCCAATTAGTATAAAATTTTGATGATGAAATTGAAACATTTAGCAAATTGTGTTTGGACGTGGGATTTTGTGGGGTTGATATTCAATGTATGAACAACAAACCTTTTTTTTGGTTTAAATTGATGGTAATTTTTTTTAAGCAGGCTTTTTTCTATAACATGATTATTAGAGATTTTTCTAAATTTTGCTTTAATTTTGGTCTGAACGTATTAAAGATGTATTCTTTTACATTAATTTGATACATTTTAAAATTTTATCAAACTTTGATCAATAAAAAAAATTAAATAGTGGTCGTTAAACCAAGTAAAATATTTTATGAAATTAGCATAGTAATCGAAAAATATAATATGAAAAGCTATTTTAATAGGGAAGTCAAAAATGTTAAACTTGATTTTAATAAGATTTGATGATTTATATATTCGTATTATATAAAATATTAAAATTCGTGTATTTATATTATATTTTATATAAAATTACGTATTATAATTTGTATTAATATAAAAATATGAAATATTTTTTTATTTTATTAAATTCATATATAGTTATAATTAAAATTTTAAGTTGTATTATCATTATATCTTATTTTCGTATTATATTACTGTGTTATATTTTAAATTATCTAATCTCTTAACACGATCACATATAAATGCATGTTGAATGGTTAGGATTCCTAATTTTAAAGTAAGAATGTAAGCTGGCCACCATCCTATTATAAACTTTGGGAGCTTAACATTAATGTTAACATCATAGTTTTACAATTATAGGAAACTATAATCTTATAAATGTTGCAGAAAAAATCACAAACACATGGTAGGTCATGTGTTGGTTAGCTCTATATATTTATATATGTTGTCAGGTTTTGGCACACGCAAACATAATTTATCCTCTCTCTTTGTACCCAAGACAAAATAATTATGTACCCACCTTCACTCTTTATTTTGTTACATTTTTATATTTTGGATCATACGATGTAAAATTTTTTTTTTTTTGATAATACAATTTAGGAACATTTTCAAGTTTTACTTGGACCTAATTATTTTTTTCGGAAATTTTAAGAATGTAATTTTCATATTTATTTAATGGATTTAGAATTTTATTTGTAGTTAAAATTTATTGTATTTATTTTGTGTGTTTGTTTTGAAATTTGATTGGAAATATTGGTTTTTGAGAGTGTGTTTGGTATATAAAATTAGAATAGGATAAAATAAGATAATGTTATAAATAAGATTAAATTAAATAATATTATTTTATCTTATGTTTGATATATGTAAATATTAAGATAGGATAATTTATTTGTTGATTAAAATTATTTTTTCTCAAAATTTATATAATTTAAATTATTAATGTAACTTCTAAAAATATAATAGGATATGTAAGTTTAATTTCATAAATTAAAAATAAATTTTTTTATTTTAGAAAGATTGAATCATAGATAATTAATTTTTTTTATAAATTTATCCATTTTTTATATAAAAATCAAATATAATATAAAATAATTATCATTTTATTATTGTATTATATCCATTATTATATGCATGATAGATAATTTAAAAGATATCCTTAACTTGCCTTGGTAGTTACTATACAGAAGAAAGCATAAGCTATCCATCTGGGGGAAAAAACAAGTTTCATGAATTGACATTAAGTGCCTCAACTACTAGATTGAAGTAGACCAATGCAATAGTACAAAGCTTGGGGGTTTCTCTAATCATATTACCACCGAAAAAAAAAAAATCAAACAAGGGAGAGAGAGATTCAATAAATCCAGAGAAAGCCCAAGCAGGAATCTCAAACTGGGCCTTACCCTGCAATCTTCTAGCAAATCCTTCAACAGATGGCAAAAACTTTATCCATTTCTGAGTTTTCAGACCTTTTTGCAACAAAAAAATATCAGGGTTTTGTTGGCACCTGGCAATATCCATGCAGGTGAAACCCTACGTGCCATTGCCAACTGCCTATGCTCAATTTTCCTGGCAAACTCATCACTCTTGTTTCTCTAGTTTTCCATCTCATAATCAACTTCCAATCTGACAATTCCAAGTTGATCACCATCTAATGAAAAAAGAATGCAGAATCAAGTATAGAAGGAAGAAAAATTAATGGAGATGTTTGAGTTTATAAGAAAACCTAGCTCAGCAGCATGAAAGGATGCATAGCTGGAACAATAATCTTATTCTTGAGCAAAGGAAAAAGCTCTCACATCCTAAGATCCAGTGAAGAACTGTTCTTCATATATCTCCTTCCACGGGTAAGGTCAGTTTTCATATGTCATGCGCATTTTTTGTCTGTTGAGCTAACTTGGCTTTTGAAACTCCATAACTTCATTATGTGCTGGTTCACTTGCAGATTTCAGAATTTTATAACCATTATGCTGTATGGAATAATCGGGCTTTTCATCTCAGCCTCAATTATTACAGCTGGTAATTTTGATTCCATCTAGGCTTCGGTTTTTTCCCTATTGGTTTGTCAGGTGTTGTTTATGCAACAACTTGCATCAATTAGTATTATTAATTCATGGATTGTACTCTTGTCCCAGGCAGTTGGTGGCTGTTTCCCAAGCTAGGTTTTGTTGGTTTGATGGCATCGACACAGTTTTTTTCGTGTTCACATGAATCATGATATCCAATTTTTGTATAAAATATAACATAAATACACCAATTATCAATATTTTATACAATACAAATACATGGATTCTAGTCTACAGGAGAATATCTAGGTGAGATGCTTAATGATGTTATATTGTCAACTAATATTCCCATGCAGGGTTAATTTCTTATGTTTTGATATAGCTTTTACAAGAGTTGTGTGTGAATTTCATGATATTCTGTTTCAGCTGTATCAACTGATACAGTGTGTACATTGCAGGTTGGTCAGTCTGCAATATTATTTCACAGGGGGATGTTTTCAGGTTTGATTACTTCCTTGTAGGTTCTTCATCAAGATGAAACTCCTTTATTATACAGCCTAGTCTTTGGAGAATTAGTGAATGATGCAACACCAGTTGTCCTCTTCAACGCAATTCAAAAGATCGATGTTACAAGAATTAACAGCAGCCAGCAGAACACCTCTCCAGTTGAATGGAGATTTCTTTTACCCGTTCTCAACAAGTACAGCTCTTGGAGTTACTATGAGTTACTGCTCTTTAGCCTTTTTTCTGATAGTAAATGTCGAATATTATAGCCAACAATTAATCCCGAAACAACCGTATGATTTGTTAATAGAATGCTATGCTAGACTCTTAGTTAAAGTGACCACAGACAAAATCCGGGTAGCCTCAAGTACGGAAAAAATGTCAAATATTATAGTATTAGGCTTCACTCTTGTGACTTCTTGGTACTTCTTAATCTTGGCATGTTTATTTCTTGATTACCATCATCTTACTGTTAATTTCATGAAATTGTCATAGCCAATGGTAAGCTCAGACCGATGACAATAAATTTGCCCTTTTTTCGAACCACTATCTCGGATTTTAATGTTGTTAGCAGCATGATTGCTTTGGAGTGTTAGATAGCAGTATGCTATAGGGGTTGAATTAAAGTGGATGCAATTCACTTGAAGTGCTTCAGGCTGCAAGCAACAAAAGATATCAATCGGAAAGCAACTTAGAACAATAAAATTGTATGCAATTTTTATGCTACCAAAGATGAAATTCAGGTCTTAAATCTATAATCTGCATCATTTTGTTCTTCAAAATTGTTTTGTTAAGACTTACCCCCTGCATTGTGGTGGTATGGGAAGATTATGATTAGGCCTAATAATCTAAAATATAATATGTTGACACAACATGAGCACTATTCGAATATAGAACACGAAGTCGAACAGGGGTGAAAGCAAGAATTGGACGAAGGAGGTGCCAAATAGTAATTTCAAAGAGGAAAGGGGTCAAAGTAATATTTTGATAGATCAGAGTACTGTAGCATAAAAGAGGTGAAAACTTTTAAGGCGGTCATGACCTTTGCTTATCCCCTTGACTTCGTACAGTTTAAAATTTTAATAATAAATAAAAATTTAATAAAATCAAAATTATATTTTTTATATTTTTATACAATTAATTTTTATATAAAATATTATATAAATATATAAATTTTAATATTTTACATAATATAAATATTTAAATTATCGAATCTAATTACGACGACGCACGCTCAAGGCAGAAAGAGCACGTTCCCTTTCCAAAAAATAAATGTCGTGCATGGAAAGGATATGGTCGGTGGCTGGCTGTGAAACGAAATGAGTGTACGAACATTGAGCAATTAGATAGCAACGATTAAAGTTTATTATTACTTATTTATTTTTATTTAAGATTGTTGAAATCTGAATTTTTTATCCTTTATAAAATTTCAACATTTTATTATGAAATTTAAAAATAATATTATTGGTAAATATGATAATTTTATTATTTTAATTTATTTTAAAACATTAGAATATCTAATTAATAAATGCGGATGTGATGGGGATTGGGGGACAGAATGACTCTGATTGGATCCAATTATTTCTCATCATTTTCTCAAGGCCCTAAGAGATCTTCCAAGAAAGGTTAAAATGGGAACATTCTCTCTCATTTTCCAATCAAATCATAGATTTTGGTACTAAATCTTAATAAAAACATATTTTTCTATAAACTTTTTGGCAAAACCATTGTAATCACAATAAAGTATTTGGTTTGGCCCCAACAGGCTGCTGTCGCGGGTCCCGTTAGAATTTCAACTCCCATCCGATTTGGAGAGATCCTCTGAGCTTGGATCGGTTTATGGACCGTGACACTGCTGTTTCACAATCACTGTCTTTAGTCCACAGCTTAGATTTAATAAAAATTATTTTGTTAATTGAATTTAACAATTTTTAATTTTAAGTTATCCACCAAAATGTGAAAATTCTTATAAATTTAAATAAAAATTGAATAAAAAATTATAATTTATTAAATAAATTTAAATATAATTTTTTAGATCCATTTAAATTTTAAGTTGATTTTAGATAAAAAAATTTAAAATTTGAGTTTAGTTTCATTAGATCCGAATAAAATATATATAATTAAAATATTATAATTATATAAATATATATGTAAATTTTTATGTTTAAATTTGATTTTAAAAAATAATTTTTTATTTTTTATTATATAAATTAAATTTAATAGGTAAATTTAAGATTTATTTTTTTTCATTTGAGCATGACTCGAGAAAATTTTAAAATTCGAAATATCGAATAGGATCAAATTTAGATAAATATATAAATTATTAATATCAAACATGAATTTATCTTAAATTCAATTCGATCATGAACACCTTTAATTTGAAATAGAAGTGAGAAAAAAATCAAGAAAATTAAATTTGATTCGAAATTATAATATTTGATTTAGTTTGAATCGATTTTTTAATTTAATTTAGATTAAAATCGGATATTAAATATATACATTAAGTTTGAAATAAATTTTGGATCAAAATTTAAAAAATAAAAAAATAAACAAAATAAAATTATATGTTTTTATTAGTTTTTATATTTTTTAAATTTTTATAAAATAAAAATAATTATTATATATATAAATCTATTTAAATATATTAAAAATTTATTAAAATAATATATAAAAATAAAAAAATTTAAAAACTAATAAATTAGATTAAATTAATAAAATTTAATTTAAATTAGATCGATTTAAAAAAATATTCAGATTTTAAAAATTTATAATATTATATATTATAAAAATATTAAATCAAATTAACAATTATCATCCCTTATTTAAAATATGCATCTTCCAATTTTATTTTTATTTTACATTTTTTTTAAGATTGGCAATTGGCAAGTACAATGAAAATCCATCCAAAAGTCGTTACACAAGATCCCAAACTCCACGCCCACCTATACATGTGTCCACACATTTTACCGACGTGTCAAACAACCAAAGCGAGTCCATTGTCTTTACAATACCCCAAACACCCAATTCTTAGCAGAATCAAATCTGTTTCAAAGCCGGTCTTGCTCTTTGCTGTCTTAAATGTAAGAACTATAAAACTGTTTTTCTTTTTTTTTTCACTTTGCTCTTCTCTGAAGAAAATTTGATCCTTTCTCTCTATATAATCAATCATATAAATGTACATTTGTTAATTCTTTAAATGGTTATTTTGTCGTGTAAATTTTGTTGACGTGTGAAGTCAAAAGCTTTAAGGAACTGAATTCGATTATTGAAAACCGGAAAATCTTTGCCTTTTACAGGTAAGTGTTTCTGGGTTTGCTTTGTTTTTGTGTTTTCTTTGTTGGATTATCATTTTCTTAATTTTTCTTTTGAGTTTTCTTTGTGTTTCTTTTTTCTTCTATGGTTGGTTGTTGCTGTTGAATTATCTTTGTTTGCATTTTGGTCAATGAGGTTTTAATTTTTTTTTTTCATTTTTGGAACTGAAAAATGAAGCAAGAGTTATCTTGGTAATAGTTTCTTGGATTTCCACCTTTTTTTATTCTTTTGGTGATTGATAAAAGCAATCTGTAGGATGGTTTGATGATGGCTTCTTGTTAATATTTATGTTTATGGGATCTAAAGTTGAGTTATGGATTTTGATTTTTTTTATTAGTTTTTATGTGTTAGGGAGGAAGATAATAGATTTTCATGATTAATATAAGTTAAAAGCAATCTATATGGATGGTTTAATGGAGGGTTCTTGTTATTTTTATGTTTATAGGATCTAAATCTGAGTCAATGATTTGGTTTTCTGATTTTTAGATTCTAAGCTTAAGGAAACTTGGGTAATTTGGAGTGTAATTTGAGTCCTACATTGATCATTGGATTCTGGATTCCGTTGGTGTAATTTGGAGAAGAAATTTTGGATAGAGATCTCTTTTGTATGATCGGATAATCTGTAGATATGTCTAGTTTTGTCGGTGTTCTTGTCTCTGACCAATGGCTTCATAGCCAATTCACACAAGTTGAGCTTCGCAGCCTTAATTCCAAGGTAAGCATACTTTGTTCCCTCCTCAACTTATTGCTTCAAGTATTGCATTATCATTCTAGTTTATTGTTAATTTTTGTGAATGTAATTTGATAGAATTTTAACCATTTGTTTTTTTTACATATGATTTCTAGTTTGTTTCAGTAAAGAACCAAAATGGTAAAGTTACAGTTGGAGACTTGCCACCCTTGATGGTGAAATTGAAGGCTTTTAGTACTATGCTTACTGAGGACGAGATTAGGCAGATATTGAGCGAATCCTATAGTGACATGAGCAATGAGATTGATTTTGAAACATTCCTCCGGGTGAGTCATATACACCAGCTTGTGCGTGCTCTCAGTTGTATTCAAATTTTCTGTTATTAATGGTGTAGTATTGTAGCATACACATATGGAAAGAAAAAAGGAATCATTGCCTCAGTTAAACTTATATGGCAGTTTACATTCTATTATGTTGCATGCAAGTGGGAATTATAGGCTAACTTTGGGTGATACTGGAATTAGTTAAAGGGGGCTAACATTATGATTGGTTGCATGGAACGAGCAGGTGTATTTAAATTTGCAAGGTCAGGCTACAGGAAAATTGGGTGGTCCGAAGAATTCGTCATCATTCCTAAAGGCCTCCACAACCACTCTTCTTCACACAATTAGTGAATCAGAAAAGGCCTCTTATGTTACACACATAAACATCTTTCTTGGGGATGATCCATTTTTAAAGCAGTTTCTTCCGCTGGATCCAGCTACGAATGATCTTTTCAATCTTGCAAAAGATGGAGTACTTTTATGGTATTTTTATGGGGTCTGCGTCATTGTGCATTTGCTTTTCTTTTCTTTTCCTACAAAAGCTGGTACAGAGTGGTGACACTGATTCTGTTCGGTCTTGTATTCTTGCAGTAAGCTTATTAATGTTGCTGTGCCTGGAACAATAGATGAAAGAGCTATCAACACAAAAAGGGTACTTAACCCCTGGGAGAGGAATGAGAACCATACACTTTGTCTCAACTCTGCAAAGGCTATTGGCTGCACTGTGGTAAACATTGGCACCCAGGACTTGGTGGAAGGAAGGGTTAGTACAGCTAAACAGATTCCATATGAGTTAGAATGAAATATTCTGAAAATCTGATGGTTTTCATCTTGATTATTTGTATTGTAGCCTCATCTCTTACTTGGGTTGATATCTCAAATTATAAAGGTAGGCATCTAAATTTCATCTCTACTAATTTTGTGCAATTACTTGTATAGGCTTTAAACTGTCTTGATAGGCTGAGAAAAGTATGATGTTAACTTAAGACATGTTGTTTTCTGGTACTCTTTTTCTAATCTCTACGTACTATCTTTGACAACTGCAGATTCAACTGTTAGCAGATCTCAACCTTAAGAAGACACCTCAGCTCGTGGAATTGGTGGAGGATAGTAATGCAGTAATATATCTCTTTATCATGTGATTGGTGTTTAACTAAGAATATATTCATGAAATAAACATGTTTTAAACTAATGGACTGAGTGTTTCCTTTTGAATTATTGTAACTTGCAGGATGTTGAGGAACTTATGGGGTTAGCTCCTGAGAAAGTTCTACTAAAGTGGATGAATTTCCATTTAAACAAAGCTGGCTATGAGAAAACCGTTACAAATTTTTCTTCTGATGTGAAGGTATTTGACTATGTTAATATTACATTTAGTGGCAAGGGTAGGATTAACTGATAAAGTGGATGGAGGTGGATGCTTATACATCAATTAGATGATTGCTCTATTTTGCTTGCATTGATAATTTGATATGTTTTACTTATTTTCTTATGCATGCAGGATGCAAAAGCTTATGCTTACCTGCTTAATGTTCTGGCACCAGAGCACTGCAATCCATTGACCCTGGATGCTAAGGATGCTGCCGAAAGGGCTAAACTGGTACTTGACCATGCACAGAGAATGGGCTGCAAGCGGTATTTGAGTCCAAAAGACATTGTTGAGGGCTCAACAAACTTGAATCTTGCATTTGTGGCTCAAATTTTTCATCAAAGGTGAGAAGCCACAAACCTTGCATTTAAAAAAAATATTTTTATTTTAGTAGTATTTCTCATAGAAACCTGTTTTCTTATCAAATCTGGAGCTAACTCCTCTAAGATGTTAGCAAACTCTTTCACATTACTATTAGTTCTCTGCCATCCATATATATTTTTTAGAAAGATTGGGAGAAATTGCTATGATTTGATGTTTAAACAGTTTGGCGATGGTGTTTTTCAGATGGTTTGCTTACAAGGGTTTTCCCATGCCTTCAATCCATTATCATGTTGGTGTTTTAGATTATTTAGTTATAACATTAAGTCTGCTCTTTGCTCTATAAATGCTGCCTCTAGTTTTATAATTGAGTAAGAAAAACATGTGTGCTTTTGCAGGAATGGCCTGAGTATAGATAGCCAAAAGATTTCTTTTGCAGAAAGGATGACAGAAGATATGCAAATTTCCAGAGAAGAGAGATGCTTTCGACTGTGGATCAACAGTCTTGGAATTGAGAGTTATGTTAATAATGTCTTTGAAGATGTCAGAACTGGGTAAGTCTTGCTCTTCACTGATGTAGTTAAAATGCTTGATTTCCATGCATTATCTCTCCTGTAGATTTTCAACAAACTTACAAACAAAAGGTTATATTAATTGCCTGGTTTTTTGAAATCCTTCCGAGAAAGTTGAAACCATGAAAGCATCAGGCTAATTGTTTGTCCTTTCTCCTAGGGCAAGAGCATGCATACATTTTTCATGTCCAAGCTGGCTCTTTTTGCATATGTTTCAACGGTTTCAATTTCAGCTTCTTTCTGTCATATTAATTTATGACAATCTTTGAAAGGTCGCATCATAGTTTTGTAATTCCAATATTTCAACTATCAACATAAAAAGCTTGATTTTGATGCAGATGGATACTTTTAGAGGTGCTTGATAAGGTTGCTCCGGGATCAGTCAACTGGAAGCATGCATCAAAGCCTCCAATTAAGTTTCCATTTAGAAAAGTGGAAAATTGCAATCAAGTAGTAAAGATTGGGAATCAGTTGAAATTTTCCGTTGTGAATCTTGGTGGAAATGATATAGTGCAAGGAAATAAAAAACTCATAGTTGGTAATCTCCTGTCTTGTTTTTTCTTGATTTTATATGATTCCCTTCACTGCTTGGCATTTTTTGCCTCCATTACTTTGTTTTACACTCATAAGGATTTTTTGATAAAAAGAATCTACATCAGGTGCAAATTGACTACCTCTACCTGAATGAAAAGGCTGACACGTTGCTTTTTGTATTGCGATGTATCTTTGTTTCTGCTTATGATTTGATTAAGCTGATGTTTTTATCTGCAATTAATCCTTCATGTGAAGCAATGGCAAGCAACATGAAAATTTTAACTCTTTACAAGTTCTGAGGTTATACTATTGGATTCACCTACCCAGTCCCCTCCCTCACCCCTGTCCACTTTTCAGAATGAAACTTCATGGATATACTTTTAGGTCCTGAATATGCTATCATGTCCAAAAGACAGTTGATCTTTCTTCTTTCTGTTATTGATAGAAAATTCTACCTGGCACTGAGCTTTCATATAAAGTTATTGGTTCCTTGCTACTTGTATTTGCAAAATTTTATATTTATCATTCATTGAACGCCTGGCTGAATGTGTATAACTTTTTGTCGTTAATATTGGCAAAATTTTGATCATTGTTGAATATTAGTTGTCCAAATGCTCAAACTGGATCACATGTGTTACAGCTTTCCTATGGCAATTGATGAGGTTTAATATGCTTCAACTTCTGAAGAGTTTGAGATCCCGCTCCCGAGGAAAGGAGATAACTGATGCAGATATAATAAATTGGGCGAACAGGAAAGTCAACAGTACAGGGAGAACTACTCAAATAGAAAGCTTCAAGGTTTTGCAATGATTGACATTTTTCTAACCATCAAATGTTGTAAGAGTTAAGACTAATGATTTATACATTATTCTAAATTTGCAGGATAAGAGCCTTTCCAATGGACTGTTCTTCCTTGAACTTTTAAGTGCTGTGGAGCCAAGAGTAGTCAACTGGAACCTCGTAACCAAGGGCGAAAGTGGTAACGATTAATTGCTAACTGGAATTATGTTTTGACTGGATTATTGGTGATGTTATTTATACTTAGAACGAGCAACTAAGTTCTTTTACCACTGTCTGAGAAAGCGCCGAGATTGAGCTGAACTTAACAGGTTATTTTCCTGTTGGAATTATAGATGATGAGAAGAGGTTGAATGCAACATATATCATAAGCGTGGCTCGAAAGCTTGGGTGCTCCATTTTCTTGTTGCCTGAGGACATCATGGAGGTAAGGGTGCAACTGTACTATGTCATTTGTTACTTCATTGCATTGTCAGATTGATGCATTATTAGTCTCTGCAACTTTGGCAAGTTACTTGAAAAACAACAAATGTAAATAACTAAAATGCATGAATTATTGCTTCCATAGGCGCGCAAGCCACATTATGAATCTCGAATTCACATCTTTACAACTAATAGGAATTAGGAAATGGATTAGATCTCGGCTTGTCGCATCAGTTTTAGATATTGCAAGCTTTTCTTGAGTAAATTGAAAATGTAGAGTTTTTGGTATGGCAGGTAAACCAGAAAATGATCCTCACTTTAACAGCCAGTATAATGTACTGGTGCATTCAACATGCAGTGGAAGAGGGTGAGACAACTCCGTCGCCTGGTAATGGCAACGGTAGCAGTTATTCATCGGATGCATCTCCAGCACCATCCATTAGTGGTGAAGACGAAAGCTCCTCACTGAGTGGTGAAATCTCAAGCTTAACCATCGATGATACTGCCTCGGACATTACAGTCTCATCATCTCAATTTGAGAGTGAAGATACTACCATTGAATAGGGCATATGGAATGGCAAACCATGTACCTCCATATGGTTGCAGTTAGGTGGAGATCATCCCCATCAAAGTAACAGCAGATGTGCATCAACTCATCCTACTAGACCCTGAAAATATTGCTTTCCTCTCATTTTTTTTTCTCTTTTCAGAAGTAAAACATAGGAAACAGAAAAATCTCTCCTTGAAACACTGTAAAAAGAAGAAACAAATCTGAACCGGCTACGTTTTGCGGGAACATTTTTTTTGTTGTTTTCCTCTGTTTTTTAAGCGGTTCAACTGTATTTTAGATGATATTCTTTGACAATAACAGCATAAATGTTACAAATGGTATACTCTTACTGTGAATATTGTTCACAAATGTGTTTTAACATTTGACCATAATATTTTATTATGAAGATTCCAACTCTACTCTTGGTTTTAACATTGTATAAATGATATATGAATACCTATAAATTATATGAGTTAGATTCGAATAAAATTCAAATTTGATTCAATAATTATCGAGTTGATTATTGAGTTGAGTTTGAATAGTTCAATTTATTAAAAAAATCGATTTTTAGTATCTTAATATTCAATTTGAATAATTTACGAATCTAATTAAATTTTTAAATTTAAATATATATTTTTATTTTAATTAAAAAATAATTATTTTACTATTATATATCAATTTGAATTTAAATTTGAGTTCAAACAAATAATTAAATTTGAAATCGAACTTGAGAATTGAATTCATTTTTATTAATTTAATTAAACAAATTCGAATATTCAATTTTTTTTTGAGTTAAACTCAAACTTAAAAATTAAAATTTGATTGAACTTCGTCAAAATTTCGAATAATATATTTTAAGTTAAATTCGAATTTTTCACTGTTTCAACTTAATTCAACTTAATTCGATTTAATTGTCTCGATAGTTAAAATTTTTGACAACAAAAAGAAAAATAAAAAAACAAAAACCAATATTGGCCCATAGGCAAAACCAGTAGGCACAAATTCTCTTTCAGGAGCCCAAAAATATGAAAGCCCGGGGCCCAAAGCTTGACCGTCCCATGCCCAAGAACAACTACTAGTCCATGTTACAATCAGACTTAGAATCAGGGAAAGAGAAGGAAAACAAAGGAAAAAAACCCAGAAACAGAAGAAATAAAAGAACAGAGAAAAAAAAAAAAGAAAACAAAAATTAAAGCAACATAGAAGAAAAACGAAAAACAAAGAAGAGGTGAATCGATCTACTTTCTAACAAAGCTTTGATCTTCTGTTTCAAAGGTAACTCCTTTTTCCCATTTATTTTAGCGTTTTTTTTCATAGTTCTTTTCCGTTTAGGGTTTCTTTTGCTCAATTATTAATCTTCTGTTTTCCCAATTGCTTAAACATTTTAAATTTGATAACTTTTTTTGTGAATTGGGTTGTCTTCAGCTCACTGTTTTACGCTTTGAGTTAAATTTTTAAGCAAAAGGCTCTTTTATACGTAGGGAAAAGAAGCAAGGTATTTAGCTTTATTGGTTCTCCAGAGTAGAAGCTTCAATTGGTCTATTTTTATTGCTTGGGTTTATGCAAGTTTTTGGCTAATTTTTGACATTGTAAGTTAGATAGAAGGTTATTAGTTTGATCTTATTGCTGACTATTTGCATGTTTAGACATTAGGGTTTAAAGGAAAAATCTTCTGTCTTTTGTGGGTTTTTGATGATTGGGCTAATTATTAGTCTGTTTTTTGAATTTGGGGTGTTTGGGCTCAATATGTAGTTTGTTTGGAACTCTTGGTTGTTTTTGTTGTATCTTGTTTGAGCTTGTGCTGGTATCATTCTCCATTTAATTCAATTACTGGATGGTTTATGAGGGTTTTATGGATAAGCATCTAGGTTTCAAAGAAAAAAGCTTTATATTTTTGTGGGGTTATGACAATTCTGCTAGTTATTGGGTTGGTTTTTGAATTTTAGGTATTTGGCATAATAGGTATTGTTATATGGTGGGATTTGTTCGAGGTTTTTCTATTGTTTTATTGGTTTGTTAATTAGCTTGTATTGTAATTATAATCTGTTGAATTTAATTAGTTGCCGGTTTATAAGGATTTTGGATGGAAAGTATGCATTGTTTCCAAAAGTAATCAGAGTTCTGTTTTAATCAGATATTTGATTTGACATACATGCCAACACAGTCCGTGGTTGGATAATGGCTGTTGAGGCTCCTGCAAAGTATGTTTATGATTTTGACGATGATGACGACAATCAGCCTTTAGTGTTCAAGAGGAATAATACTTCATCTTCTAAGCATAATCAGTTAAACTCGGAAATAAAGAAGGCATCTTCTCAAAGGTCTGATGGGCAATCTGGGAGGCAGGCCTCCGATGTACGAGCTCCCAATGGTCAAAGTTCGAGTGCCCAGAAGAACAACACAATCCCATCTTCTAAGTCACCTCTTGTGAAATCTCCTATTTTGAGCCCAAAAGCATCAACATCTTCTGCCAAGGCCTCACCAGTGACGAATTTAAAGGCATCAACTTCATTAAATGATCAGTCAAAACAAGCATCGAAGCAGAATATTTCAACTGCTGTCGAGGAAGAGAAAAGCCCGATTAAAGGTATCACTGAAACAAACAGTGATGATGATGATGATCTAAAACCTTTGAGTGCCAGGCTTAAGGGGACCTCAAACCAAAGCAACAAGGGGGCGAGCAATTCTCATACTGACCAATCACAGCGATTGGTGCCAAAGATTGAAGTAAAAGGATCTGCTGAAGATCCAGATGATGATGCTCCTTTGTCTGCAAGGTTCAACATGAAGTCCAATACTGGGACATCGAGTAGTAAGCCGTATGATTCTGATGAGAAGAAACCTCTGGCTTCTAAAATTCAGCAGAATGGTTCCACCATGAAGGACAAGCAGCAAAAGTCTTCTATGTTACCGGGTAAGAGACCACTTGACAAGGGAAATTCCTCATATCAGTCTTCAGCTAAAAAGCCAAAGATTTCAGATACACCTACAACAATGAAATCCCTGCAAGTAATGGTGAAAGCAGAAAAGGCTGATGAAGATGATGATCATATTCCAATTGCCCAACGAATGAAAAAGTCGACTCCATCTGACAGTAAAACTTCATCTATGAAGCAAAAAGCGACCAAGGTTGTATCTTCTTCATTTAAAAAGATAAATAAAAAGTCAAAGAAAGAGTTGAAAAATTCTAAATATATTAAATCGACGAAAGTGTTGCCTAGTTCTGGTGATGGGCAGAAAAAGTGGAGTACCTTGGTTCACAATGGTGTCATTTTTCCACCTCCATACAAGCCTCATGGGGTTAAGATGTTGTATGATGGGCAGCCAGTTGATCTAACTCCTGAACAGGAGGAGGTCTCTCTCTCTCTCTCTCTCTATCTATCTATCTATCTATCTATATATATGTATATGCTATAGCGGTTATATGTTATTGTATTTTGACATGTTTTTGGAAAGACCAATGTTGTTATTGCAATTACCTGGAAGGTTCAAAGTTCTCATTTGACTTACTGCAAGATGTTTTAACCTGATCTTTTGATTCTGCAGGTTGCAACAATGTTTGCAGTGATGAAAGATACAGATTACATGAGTAAAACGCAGTTCAAGAAGAATTTCTGGGAGGACTGGAGTAAATTACTGGGAAAAAAGCATACCATTAAGAAGTTGGACAGATGTGACTTCTCTCCAATATATGAGTGGCATTTGCAGGAGAAAGAGAAGAAAAAACAAATGAGTTCTGAAGTAAGTTGGTTGAAAATAATTTTTGGCTTCAATATATGCAATCACTTCTGGTACTATATCTGTTGTAGAACCTACATACCTTTTCACATCATGTTCCTTCAAAGCAAATTCTGGAAAATATCATTAAGCATGGCCACTGTTTGTGTAGGAGAAGAAGGCTTTGAAAGAAGACAAGTTGAAGCAGGAGGAAAAGTATATGTGGGCTATTGTTGATGGTGTCAAAGAGAAGGTGAAGATTTAGCTTCAATATAGAACTTGATTTATCCCTTTCAAAACTTCTTTAATCACTTCTTGATTTAATTTAATTTATTAATGCTTGTCCTCATTCTACCCTGGTTTTGGAGAGTAATATTAGATATATATGACTTTTTTACCTCCTCTTCCACCAATCTCCGCAAGATCTATTAAAATTGAACTACTCTCTTTTGAGTTATTAATTACTCTGTTTCTTATGAAGTTCTTGCTAATTCAGATGATTGTTTTAATTGCAGGTAGGAAATTTCCGAGTTGAACCGCCTGGGCTTTTCCGAGGTCGCGGAGAGCATCCAAAGGTATTGTTGACATGCTTGACAACTGTTAAGCTGTAGAAAATCATATGCTTTAGTCTAATAATTGAATTTTCAGGATTCTTAGATAATGTTCTTTTAATTTTATTGTTGCTTATCAGATGGGAAAGTTGAAAAGGCGTATTCGTCCAAATGACATTACTATTAATATCGGAAAGGATGCCCCAATTCCAGAATGTCCAATCCCTGGTGAAAGGTTAAGAGAGAGAGAGCATTCATTTTCTAGAATATATCAAAGGATTGGAGGTTATTTTCAATTTGGATTATCTTAACTTCCAGATTTTTTTGTTTGCTTGGCAGATGGAAAGATATAAAACATGACAATACTGTCACATGGTTAGCATTCTGGAATGATCCCATTAATCCAAAAGAATTCAAATATGTATTTTTGGCAGCTAGCAGTTCTTTGAAGGGGCAAAGTGACAAGGAGAAATATGAGAAAGCAAGGATGCTGAAGGTAATAAGTGATATAATGGTGCTTTTAGTTTTTATTTAATGAAACATGTATAAATGGACGTCTGTGCTTTAATGCAGGATTATATCAAGAACATCAGAGCAGCATATACTAAGGATTTTACAACTAAAGATGTTATGAAGCAGCAAATAGCAGTTGCTACCTATCTTATTGATAAATTAGCTCTTAGGGCGGGTAATGAGAAGGTATCATGTGTACATATTTGTGTTTCTTTTGACTTGTATACAAGAACATTAACTTTTGGTTAGGATTGAATTGAATAGAGGAAACAGATTGTTGGAGCTGGTGTAGTTTTATTAGGCTTTTTGTGTTGGTCAGGTATTATATTGGTTGTCCTATATCCATTCTGCTGATGTTTATGAAAATATTGTGGCTGGTCCTGGTAATAACGAAAGGGCAAAGTGGGTTGCGTCATCCACTAAATTATTTGCAACTGTTCGCTGTCCTAACTTTTTTCAGTTCTTTTTGGCCTCTCTCTTAACTTTTTAACTCTTTCAACTTCAAATCAAATAATTGTGCACATCCTTGTGTTTGGTTTATGCTATGTTTAATCTAGGTTTTTGCTTGTTAGTAATCTTACATAGTTCTTCTCTGTGTCAGTTGAAACAATGTCTTCTTAAAAAATAATTGGGACTTAGAATGAGTTAGGTGCTTTGGTTGAAAGATGTTGATAGTCAATTATTGATCTGTTGTTGTTCTTGAAAGTTGTGGTCGGGTTCTATAACCTTTATCTATGAAGGAGGTTTCAAGCAATTCTTTTTGGGTATTCTTCATGGTATGGTTGGCCACCTGCAGGATGATGATGAAGCTGATACTGTTGGTTGCTGCACACTTAAAGTAGGAAATGTGGAGTGTATTCCTCCAAATAAATTGAAGGTATGGTCAGTTTATGCTCCTAAGAAGAGATATTCAGTATTTCTTTTGTACTAAATTTGGTAACTGGAGTGGACTCTAAGGCTTGGCAATTGTAAACTTGCTAGTTTTTGTTGGTGTGCAATTAGTATTAGTGCTTAGAAATTGTTGTGTATAGAATTCTATGGCAGCTAGTCACTCACCTGCTGGCTGATACCGGTGTTAACATTTTTGTTCTTGTTTTAATCCTTTAGTTTGACTTCCTCGGTAAAGATTCGATTCAATATGTGAACACGGTGGAGGTTGAGCTTCCTGTATACAAGGCAATCGGACGGTTTCAAACTGGTGAGTTGTGATTACCCGTGTTAGGATTCATATGTTGGTGATATGACTTAAGCCAAAGATTATGATCTCTCTTTTATGCAGGGAAAAGCAAAAGTGATGATCTTTTTGACAAGCTTGATACAAGTAAACTAAATGCTCATTTGAAAGAACTCATGCCTGGGCTTACAGCAAAAGTATTCCGTACCTATAATGCTTCCATTACATTGGATGAGATGGTATGTTGCAGCCTATACGTGACAGACATGCATTTTATAACACGCATGTAGACATGTATGTTGTGGATAGCCAAGTTGCGAGTCATCAATTATTATGTGAGACAATTCTATTGGACCAGAATGGTTATAGCCATATATAAACAATTTCTGAGAGCTTTCAAAGTAGTGGACAAACTTTGTGAAGTAATATATTTCATGACTCTCATCCTGTTTTTATATTTGACGTTTGAACTAGACTATGACTGCCAATACTTCCATGGAAATACTGAGTTTATATTTTGAACTAACATCTTTAATGATAACATAACATTGCTTGTTGGGTAATTTGCGGTTTTGTAGTGTCTCTATACTTGTGTGATTTGGTTGGATTAAATTTTTCAAATTTTTGTTCAAGTTTATTCTTATTTGGATTTTCTTGGGTCGGATGACAGTTAAATAAAGAAACCAAAGATGGCGATGTGGCTGAAAAAGTAGTAACTTATCAGCATGCAAACAAAGAGGTAAGGACCGTTTCTTGCTAGATGTTAACCTAATGAAGGAATCTATTTTATGTTACCTTTCTGGCATCCAGAATTTTGATTGTTCTTGCTGCAGGTTGCAATCATTTGTAATCATCAGCGTAGTATCTCAAAATCTCATAGTGCACAGATGTCAAGGTTGACTGAGAAAATAACAGAACTCAAGGTAATAATTCTTTCTAGAATTTTCTTGGAAAACTTTGACGGATTTTTAATTAGGGTCTACTGTTTGGGCACTAGTGCTTTGTCGATGTGGAAGGGTGTAGACCAACTAGCAGATACTAATGGATTCTGTGCTTGCTCCTTCTGCATGTTCTGTCCATTCAGGCCTGTCTTTGCTGGCATTGATGGCAAGACTGTTGCCACATTTTATTTAAAATTTCGTTGACTCCTTGTCGGGGCTTATGTTGTTTCTACTTCATGCACTTAGGATATGTTCTGCATAGTGGTTTCAAATTTAAAAAATTTCTCCTCACAATTTGGTGCCTTTCCATTCCATCCATTGGGCTAACCCTTTTCTTTATGCTTGTAGGGTGATCTAAAAGAGCTAAAAACTGATTTGGACAGGGCTAAGAAAGGGAAGCCCCCCTTGAAGGATGCTGATGGGAAGCGAAAGAGGAACTTGGCCCCTGAAGCGTATAATAGCTTGTTCCCTTTTTCTTAAGCCTATTATACAACTTTTCCATATGTGGCACTTCCATTGATTCATCAACTTATATGCAGGTTAGAGAAAAAGATAGCTCAAACAAATGCAAAGATTGAGAAGATGGAGCGAGACATGCAGACTAAAGAGGATCTAAAAACTGTGGCATTGGGCACGTCCAAAATCAATTACCTTGACCCTAGGATTACAGTTGCATGGTGCAAGCGACACGAAGTTCCCATTGAGAAGGTAAACAGTATTTGCTATAGTTGTTGGGATGCTGCATTATTAAATTGGGGTTCATTTCTTATATGTTGCTTCACAGATATTCAACAAGTCTCTTCTGGCAAAGTTTGCTTGGGCAATGGATGTGGATCCTGAGTTCAGATTCTGATCATCCAAAGTTAACCCAGGTTGGTGCCTTGAAATTCTTACTCCCACCACTGGCCCCCAAGGAAAAGATGGGGATAAAGGAACAGCCAACCCCTCTTCTTCAAACATCATCCATTTTTCCATCAAAGTTAGTTACAATTTTTTTTTTCTGTTTCAGTGGAAAATTCATGTTATATGCCAATCTAATCTAATCAAGGGCTGGTTAGCTCATTTCTTTTTCCATCCCCTCAAAACTGTTCCATGTTGGTAAAAGAGTTGCAACAAAAATTGTTTGCTTTAACTATTTAACACTCCATAAACTAACGTTCAATTGTGGAGATACATTGGAGAACGGTTCAAAAACAGAGTTGATTTTATACTTTCCTCCCCGAGATTCCTTTTGTTATTACTATAATCATGTGGAAGATACTGCTTATGTTACATTTCTGGTAATTCTGTTATGAATACTTTTGTTGTGAAAATTTGAAACCTGTGTTATTGCTCATGATCCATGAAACATATCTGAATTGAATGAGGTTAAGAATTTGATTAATTCTAGAACTCAAGGGTCAATCCTTGGATTTAAGTTATAAAAGAGAACCATAAGAATCATCCTTGGTTACCATTGGAAGTTCTTTCTCAATTCTGAGACATTAGGCCATATGATTCATTCAATTATCAAAGCACTTTCAGCATTATAGAATATGGCAGAAAAATTTTACTAAAAGAAAGATGAATGTACAGAAGCAAATGGCATCTAATGCTCGTAAGCTTCAAGATCTTTACACAGCTAATTGCAAAAAGCATGAAGAAAGAAGAGATCAAAGAAATTAGGTCAGCCTACGTGGAGATGATCTAGTAGTGTCTTCTGAAATGACTGTGAGAAGCCTGTAGCAATAATAGTCACATGGATCTCCCCAATGTAGCTGTCATCCACCACAGCAACAAATATGACGTTAGCACAAGGATCTGCCAAACTTGTCACAACCAGCAAACAAAAATGTAATTCGGAATGCACGTCATTTCCCATAAAGACAACAAGATAGTTTCACATCAAATCATCAAACAAGAAATCAATAGCTCCTTATACCAAAGTACCTGTGAAACCAGTAGCTGACTGAATTGATGATCCAATTAGGGGAGCCAAAGTTGCTTGTCCAGCTGCTTCTTCCGCACGGGTTTAGCTAGAGAAACTCCTACACCAAGCATTGCAGTTCCAGAATCTCTCATGACTGCCTTAACATCTGCAAAATCCACATTCACCAATCCGGGCATTTGCAAAAGGAAAGGCAGAAATTCAACAAGACTATGCTGAAAACCAGAAAATACTTTATAGGAGAAACAATCATTAAACTGAGTTCAAATGGCTTCATATTTTTGCATCATTACATATTATTCAGTAGTCATTGCATAACCAAGGTCATGCATGGTTAACTGGAATGGTTATATAGAATCTAAACCTTCTTGCAGTCCATTCTAATATGTAGCTTGGCATATGATACAATCTGACCGTGATTATATCTGAAATCCCTCGTACCCCTTGGCACAGAACATCATCAGCTAGAAGAAAACCATCTTGCAGAGGTGTCTGCTCATCAGCAATATCAAGCAGTCGGTCATTTGGAATCACTATGAGAGTATCCACATTCTTTTGCAACTTTTCAGTAGCCTCCATTGCCTGCAAATATAGAGATATAAGACAACTATTTTTACTATGATTTCAAACCATGATATCTCCCACTATCTAGAGCATTGTAAGAAGTTAAATGCAATTACCTGCATGGTTCTTTTACGTCCTTCAAAGCTTAAGGGATGTGTCACGATACCAACAGTCAAATAACCAGCCTCTTTTGCTATCTGGGCAACTACTGGAGCAGCACCTGACCCAGTGCCTCCACCCATGTCAGTGGTTATAAAGACAAGACCTGAGCCTTTAAGAGCATTTGCAATGGCATCTCTGGACTACTCTGCAGCTTGTTCCCCCAAAAGTGGATTTCCACCAGTGCCTGAATTTCACTCAATGGATTCACATCATTAACAAATATAAAGTAAAGTAAATAGCCATACAAAAAATCATAAAAAAGAAAAGATTTTTTTCTTGATCAAACAAGAGTACCAGACCTAGTCCACGAGTAAAAAGCTCTCCAATTTGAAGAGGGTTCTCTGCAGCAGATTGTAAGTAATGCTCATAGAAATCAACACCTAATTCAAAAACAAAGCACCATTATATACTAATGAGAAACACTGATTACCAAAAATGGCACTGAACTTTTACAAAGTAAAACTTGAAATTGGCTTCAAATAAAACAAAATAATTGAGAGAGCAAGAGCTTATATTTCCTAACTTCTCATGGTAACAATCAGAAGCCATCAAATGAAAATGCAGGTAAAACCCACCAAAAGAATCACTTTAAAAAAACTTTCAAGTTTCAGAGTCCAAAAAATTAGGAAAAAAATCCAGCAATTAAGAAATAAAACCCAGAAAAATTCACGAAAATTTTCGAACTTTAAGCAAAACCCAATTGAGAAAAGCTGAAAACCAACCTGTAAACCGCTACCAATCATTCGATTAACAGCATTGTTACCACCTTTATCTTGGCAGTTTCAATTGAAGAAAAACAACAGTTTATCGCTTAAAAACGGTGATGCGACCCCAAAAAGTTTCTTTTCAATGGCTTTTTTGAAGGAAAGAAAAATGGCTTTGAAGATAACAACGAAAAAAACAAAGTTGTTGATACTGAATCCTTTGGGTTTGCCACTTGAAGTGCTGCCATTTTTGGAAAAAAAAAAGTTGCAAAAATGGTTTTGCTTTATAAATGTTATTTTCTGGGATTTGATTTGAATGGAGAAGGGAAGAGAAGTGCTTTTAGGGTTTTAGAGAGATTTAAATAACATTTTCATTGTAGTTTTTGAAAATTAGATGTCACTTTTTTTGGCGGTCTCAGCCTCAATATATATAAAAAAAATGTATAAAAAATAAAAATTATTAAGTAATAATTTGTATTAATAAATTAAATATAAAATATATTTTTTATTTTTATCATTTTTATACACTGAACTCGTGAAGGACATTGCTGTTTTCCCATTCAACTTACTCTTGCTACAGTTGCCTAGTTTGAAGCTGTAAACTGAGATCAGTGAGAAAAACTTGAATCGATCCGGGAAAAATTAGATGATCGATGGCAGTGATAATTGGAAAGAAAGAAATGTATTCTTTTTTCTATAATTATTTTATCAAAATTACAGAATGTCTGATAGAACAACAGTAATTTTTATGACAATTGAATAAAAGATAACTTCAAGTGCCAACAAGAGAAGTCCATGCTGGAATAAGGATTACTTGCGGAAACAACATGAGAAGAAACTGAATCATCCATGATAGCTAAATCCAGATAATCCTCATTGGCCAATCCTTTTTGCCGGTTTACCGCGAACTTCCCAAAAGATTTTTTGTGTAAAGAATTTCACTCTCCTTCATTCAAAATGGGGACGATAAGTGGTTTCATTTGTGCAAGATATACAATTGCCCACCTATCAAAGCAAAAGAATTAACATTACAAACTAGCAAGACAGTGAATTTTACTTATTACATTAGAGCTCTCCATAAAAGTAGCTACAAAGAGTACTTGACAAAGATGCATACCCATGTGCTAGATGCAGGACATTGGTCATTTGTATGAATATTATACATGCATTCAAGATGGAGAGAAGAGTAATGCTTAAAAAGCAAATATTCAGTCATCGAATCTGAGAGTACCAAAGGCAGAAGAGTAAACGTATTTAGTGTTTCTTTTAAATGGTAAAATCAGAACTTCATCATCTACCTCGGCAACCTATGAATCTACCTTATTCAACAATCATTATTCAACAATCATAGCAACCAGCTAACTCTCACAAATGCATAGCATAACAGATCAAGGTACTTAAAGAGCTTAACCTTTAACAAGGTGTCCCATTCAGTAAATTCACAGATGAAGAACCTAATGAACAAGCTACACAAGATATTATTCTCAGTTTTATGACTAGTTCATTATAAACACCTTTGAATTAGGTCTTTGCAAAAGCATTCAAACTTAGCATATGCCACAATGCAAAATTAGAATACATCCTAAGAAGAAAGCTAGTTTATCATAGCAGAAATTTGAGGAAGAAAAAGCACTGAAATTATACTCTTCACCTAAACCAAAATTTTGGAAGGACAACGTAGCAAAAAGATGCCAAAGGGTAATAATCATCATGCATTTAAGATTTCATATTATTACTACTTTCCAAGCAGTTTCTATATAAAAAATCAAGCTACTACAGAAGAAAGACAATGTAAAATAAACATAAACTTACATCATCCAACAACAGACTGTTGCTGTAATGACCAGTGTTAGGTGCAACCTGCATAACAAAACAAGGAAAAGCAGCTTTTCAATGAGAACAAGGAAAGTCTAGGGATTCATTACTCTTATCGGCCGGAAATAATAAACAAACAAAAGAAAATTTCCTAGTCTCTTGCTGGCAAACCGGGCTACAATATATCAAAACATGGTACTGCATAATCAAAATACAGGCAAATCAGTTTGCTAGATCACCAATCTCATACACAATGCAATGAGAGGTGATAAGATTCATTCCACTTCAGAGTAAACAACCACAGCACAAAGAGTTCAGCATTGGATTACAGTGCTAACTTGCTATTCTATCTAACAGCCCCACTTGCAATACCAAATTAAAGCATATTTCATTAATTTACACCAATCTAAAGATACCCTTTAAACTTAATCAAAGTAACATTAACCCAGATTGTAAAAAAGGTACAACTTTTAGCATTAGAATTATAAATCCAAAAAAGCCTAATAAAAATAGCAAATTCAATTCGAAAAAAGAGAAATTGTTAAAAGGACACTTACAGATTAGCAGAGGGACCTCTGTTACAGCAGATTCTGGTACAAAGTGATGCAATTATCCCAATCACAGCAAATATTAGGGTTGTTACCAAGAAACCCATATTCCAGATCTCAAATTTACCCAAAATTTCCTGCAAAAACAAAAAACTAAAGATTTTTTAAAAACTTGTTTGGGGCTCGGCAAAACCAAAAACAAATTTCGAGATCAGATATAAATCCACTTACCTTCTGTTTGGTTCCGAGATATCCAAGAAAATAACAGTAATTGGGATCTTAAGTTTGGATTCGGAAATTGGAAGCTTCGTTTCGTTGAGGTTTTAGATTTTAGTTTCGGATCTTCCTAAAAAGACCCGATATGTTCATCAATGACCCATCTCTCTAGGCCCAAACTTGACATAAATGGGCTAACAATTGGCCCTATTGAGCAAAGTGGCCCAAATTGTGTCACAAGTCTATGAGCTTAAATTTGGGCCCATGCAGGCTTTCAGCTCAAATGAATTTTATATGTTGGGTCGTAGTGGGCTAATTTGGGCTAACTCCGCCCAATTTAGATATTGGGTTTTTTTTTGTTACTTGATCATCTAGCACATACAAGAAACCCTAATTTTTTTTTTTTTAACAAAAGATAAAAAAGATTTGAATTTTATTCTTATTATATACTGTGACTGTATGAACCTTGAATTAAACCTTCATCCAAAAAACCCTACTTTACCAAGGAATCTATATTTGCAGTAAATGGGCTAACATTTAGCCCAATTGAGTTAAAATGGCCCAAATTGTGTCAAATTTTAAGAAAATGGGCTTAAATATGGGGTCATATCGGGTTTTCAGCTCAAATGGGCTTTACATGTTGGGTTTAGTGGGGTAATTTGGGTTAATTGGTCCAAATATGTAGCCCAAATTGGGCCGTGAGTTTTATATTACTTGATTATCGAGCAAATACAAGAAACCTTTTTTTTTTTTTTAAAGGAAATAGCAATGTAAAGATTAAAAAAAAAAAAATTGTAAGTATTGAGATTTGAATTTTAAATTTATTAGATGTTGTGATTGTATGAAACTTGAATTAAACTTTTATAAAAAAAAAAAAAAACCCTACTTTACCAAGGATTCTATATTTCCTAGGATTTCTTGTCAAACAATCATTTGAGTTACTACTTAAATATAAAAACTAGCCTTCCTACAGATTCATAAAAGCAAAAGAAAAACATGACATCCTTAACATCCCTTGTTGATTTGTCATGGCTAATGGCATTGTTGCAAGAAAAAACAAAGTTTTATCAATCTTATTCTTGCCCATGTCAAACCACAACAAGGCAAAAAATTTTCTTTTGTAAAGATTGCATGTTGGGTTTTTTTTATTGTGAAAGCTGTAACAATTTCTCTCTTGATCATCATCAAGGTCACCACATTCTTCAAGTAAGTCTCCCATCTTTAATAAACACAATTTATGCTTCTTACTCAATAATTGATATAAAATAATTATTTTTATATTTTAATGTTTTTTTTTTTCAGGTATTTCAATTAGGATATGAACAGATAGGAATTAACGTTTTAACAATAAAAGATTTGTTCGATGTATCTGATATCGAATCTAATAATATTGAGAATTATTTTGAGATTGTTTTTATAGGAAAGATGCAAGAAAAGCATGCAAGTTGTAGTAAGAGTGACTGCAAGGATATGAGCAAGAATTGTGAAGTATGTGGATGTCAATTACAAAGTGCAACATCAAAGTATTGTTCAATTGAATGCAAGGCAAAAGTTTCTTTATAATTAGTTCTATTATTAATACTTTGTTTTTTTTTCAATTGGATGATCAAATTTTTAATTTATAAAATTTAATTAATTTTTTTACAGGTTGACAAAAATACAAATTTGGTTATTACTTCTTATGAAAAATCTTCTGAAGAAGCTTCATCGAGTCGAGTTTAGATATAAAATTTTGTATATGATAATCTCACGATTTTGTTTGCAGATCATTTTATTCGTAAACAAGTTTAGATCATTTTTCAAGAATTTATTAGTTTTTGTTAATTTTTAAATGATCTTGGGTACCTATTTATTTAGTTTAGTGCATATAAAATAAAAAATGGTATTTTTTTTTTTTACTTTTAAATATTTTACAATTTGGTTCTATGTTTTGGATTATCAGTACATTAATAATTTCCTCACTTCTTGACTAAACTAAATTGAGAAAAAGAAAATTAAGGGGGGAGATTGGAGAAATGGACAAGAAGTTTGGGGCCAATCTTGGAAATTATTAAAATAAAAGACCTATACTAGAAAAAGAACAAAACAACAGTGGCACCATAGCAAAAACCTCAAGAAAACAAAGAGAAATCCCCAAAAAGAATCGAACCACACTTCTAAAATAATTTAATAACTACCCAGTTAACGAAAATCTCCAGAGGTTCACAGATTTGGGAGGCTTTAGCCTTTGAATCTCGGCTAGCTGCTATTTTTGGGCTTTCCAAAGGGAAAGATGTCAGACCTAGACAGGCAAATAGAGCAACTAAAGAAGTGTGAGCCCTTGAAAGAATCCGAAGTGAAAGCACTTTGTCTTAAAGCCATGGAAATCCTCGTTGAAGAAAGCAATGTTCAAAGGGTTGATGCCCCTGTTACTGTATGTATTTTCATGTTCTCATATATGGGTTTGTGTTATTTCTTATGCTGGTGGTTTTTCTTTAGGCTGTTGGGTTGGTTTTTGTTGGAGTTTGATTTAGTGAAAGTAAAGGTCTTAGCTTTGTGTTGATGGGTTATGGGAATTTATTTCACTGTTTTGGTTAATGGGTTTTGCGCTCTTGTATTTTTGTTGACATTTTAAAGCTCGCTGCTTATGGATATGTATTATTATGTGTATTTGCATTTGGGGCAAGAAATGAGATGAAATTGACTAGCGTTTTGAAGGAGAATTGATTGAAGAAAATATATCCTTTTTTTTTTTTTAAGGATTAGAAGCTTGGATTTTGCTAGAACGATTGAATTTGGTTAAAAGAAACAGAAGATTTATGTACCGGAGAATTTAATAAGGGTGGAAGTCAATGATGGAAGTAGGATTTAGGGTCTTTGAAGTCTGGCCATAGGAAAATATGTACATAGTGATGCGGTTTTATATCAATGGAGCAGTACTGCTGAGGGCAATTAGGTTGCTTTTCAGGTTCTGAAGTCTATAACCTTCCAGTAGTGTCTTTAACCCTCTTAAACTTGAGACCAGCCTTTCCTTTGTCATGAACTTAGAGCTTGAAGGATATCATGCTGGATTGGTCTAAGTCTATGTCATAAGATGTTGATACATGTGTGCTATGCAGGGTTAGGTCAATGTTACCTCCTGGAAAACTTGGGCAGAGAATGGAAACTTTAATGCTGTTTTTAATTTGGATACTAACCTTATGCAATATAGAATACTTATAATTCTTTGATGTTTTTGCGTAGATATGCGGTGATATCCATGGACAGTTTTATGATATGAAAGAGCTTTTTAAAGTAGGAGGTGATTGCCCTAAGACAAATTATTTGTTTCTTGGAGATTTTGTTGACAGAGGGTTTTACTCTGTGGAAACCTTTCTACTTCTATTGGCCTTGAAGGTAAACTGTCTTTTATAAAATTTTGAAAGATTTATTGAAATATTATTCTTCTGATAATTTGAGCATTATCAGGTGAGATATCCTGATCGCATAACACTCATTAGAGGGAACCATGAAAGTCGTCAGATCACACAGGTTAAGCAATTTTATTAGGCTACTCTATTAGATTCTTGTGTTTCAGAATATTCATTTACTGCCATTTCTTGACAGGTATATGGATTCTATGATGAATGCCTGCGTAAATATGGCTCTGTGAATGTTTGGAGATATTGCACTGACATATTTGATTACTTAAGGTTGGCCAGTTTCCATTATTAGAAATATAAATTGTCAAGGCCTGCTGCAGGTCGGAGGGGCAGTAATGTTTCAGTGTTGTGAAGTGGCAATTGAGTTGCTTTTATAAGGGTTGGTTTAATACAGTATCTTATGTTTTGATCATAAAAGTGAAGGGAGCAATTGAGTTTCTTTTATATTATTCACAGTTAAACTAAAGTTGACAAGTGTAGCTGTCCCATATTTGTTGTCTGGATTAAATCCCTTTATATCTCCTCATATAACCACTAGATGTTGAGTACTTCATCATAGCAGCCGGCCAAGCAAGTACCCTGTCTTATTCTTTTTATTTGATAAGCACTGGCCCTAGTGGAAGCAGTTACTCTATTGTCTTCTCATTATTTTAATCTACTGTCTTTTATTATGACAAAACCTCAAAATGCTATCATTTAGATGATTTATTATAAAAGAATTAAACCTTCTTTGCCATGTTTGTGAGTTGATACTCCACTGACAGTTCTAGCTCCCTCCCCCTATGCCCTTTCTTCTGGTCCCACAAAGTTACTTGCTGCACAACCTATATTTAAGCACTATATATAAGGTCTTTTCTGATGATATTTTATTTTGTCAATTATTGTATTAGTCTTTCGGCCCTTATTGAGAACAAAATTTTTAGCGTCCATGGTGGTCTCTCTCCAGCTATATCAACTTTGGATCAGGTCAAAGAATCTATCTTATTATTGGGTAATTGTTGCGAAGCTTTATATTAGTGGTACTAATACGATGCTTCTTCCAGATTAGAACGATTGATAGGAAGCAAGAAGTACCTCATGATGGTGCCATGTGTGACCTGTTGTGGTCAGACCCTGAAGACATTGTTGATGGTTGGGGTTTGAGTCCCCGTGGTGCTGGTTTCCTCTTTGGCGGCAGTGTTGTCACTTCATTCAACCACACAAACAACATTGACTATATATGCCGTGCACATCAGTTGGTTATGGAAGGATACAAATGGATGTTTAATAACCAGATAGTTACAGTCTGGTCAGCTCCCAATTACTGTTACAGGTAAATTATGAATTTGAGATTTCCTCTTCCATTATTCCGTAGCTTAATGATTTATTCTTGCATGTGGTTGCAGATGTGGTAATGTTGCTGCAATTCTTGAGCTAGATGAGAACCTTAACAAGCAATTTCGCGTGTTTGACGCAGCACCTCAGGTTTGCACATAACTTACATGCAATTGACTGCCAAATGCAAAGCTTGCGTGAAACTATTGGTAATTCAATTTTTGCATGCGAAATGATGTTACGACCTGCAGCATATGACTTACTAGGCATGCACTTTCAGTTAAGTTGATTACATCGTTTGACTTACTCGAAGATTATTATCAAATGTAGGAATCAAGAGGCACTCCTGCCAAAAAGCCTGCACCAGATTACTTTCTATGAAGCGGATGTAAAGTTTTACCTTTTTCGAGTCCATTACACAAACTGATCAATGATAGGATTTACGGTGACTTGGTGCATACATTCTCCTATGATAGCAGAAAAACAATGGATAGGCTTCTTCATGAATAGCAAGGATTGTACTTCCAATTCACAATGCGATTGCACTGTTGGGCTTGCCTTTGTTGTTTGTCTGCTTCTACCTTGATCAATGTCTGCTTGTAATAGTAGTGTGTGTTTAGGGCAGAGGGGAAGAGAGAGAGAGAGAGAGAGAGAGAGAGAGAGAGAGAGAGAGAGAAAATGATTCTTAACGAGAATTTGATTACGACTAGCGGAGAATGAGACTGTTGTAACTATGATTCTTATATGAGAAATTTCTAAAATTGGTTTTGTGCCATAGAAGTTTATTTGTCAAATGTTACCATGTTTCTTGGTTTCATATACACGGGACCCTGGATGGAAGAATCTGCATCTTTTGCTTTTCTTCGTTTTTCTTGCCATTTTTCTTCATCACTGTATGCAACAGAACTGGCTGAGCTCATTTTAGCAAAAAATGGGAAACCGATGATTCTTTAGTTTAGTGTTTTTTTTTTTTCTTTTTTAAGATTCTATTAGTTTTGTTAATATAAATGTTCTTATATAATTTTTTTTATTTGAGATTATTAGAATTTGATTTAATTTTGTTCATCTTAATATTAAGATAACAGTATGCTTACCTTAAAAAAAAAAAAAAGTTGTAGCATGCTTAGAGTTACACGATAGATTTGGTTCCTTTCCTCTTTTACTGACGTCGTTAATTCTCATTGCTCACTTCATCTTATCCGTACAAAAATTCTTAACCCTAGATTTACCTCAAAATCTAGGATGACTATAAATCAGTTTAAATTGATTTAATTGATGTAAATCGATAAAAAAAAATTTAATTTAATTTATTTAATTTTAATTATAATTGTTAAATTGATTAAATTAATTAATTTTTTATTTATAAAAATGATTATCTAATCGATTAAATTAATCAAATTTTTAATAAATAAAAGTAAAAAAATTAAAAAAAATACTTTTATTTATTTTTTCTTATAAAATATTATTAAAATTATTAAATTTTTTAATGATTTCAAATTGAATAATATTTAAGTTTAAATTTTATTAAATTAAATTTATAATTAAATAATACATAATAAAAAATAATAAATTAATTATTTAATTAAATCGAATTAATTTTGATCAATGATTGTTGTTATTTAAAACTTTTCTACCACTTAATTACTTGTTGAATGGAAATTATTTAATTTAATTATTAATTTTTTCAAACCTTATCAAAATCCTCAAAATGCCGTATCCCCAAACCCGGTCCGATCTCAACGAGCCACCAGGTTTTTATAAATTACAAAACTCCGCCAAAAAAAACAATCTTTTAACTTTTCGTCATCTACGCTCCCAAATCTCTTTTCTCTCAATCCTACTCTTCTGCCTTAAAAAAAAAAAAAAATCATTTAACAAAATCTCTCTCGCCAATTTACCCGCCAAAAAGTTCCCTGAATTTTTATATTTAAGCTCACCAACTTTTTAAAATTTCCACATTCCCCCTTTAATCTTCCTCTCTCCCTTTCCCACTCTCTTCTTCTGGCTGCGGTATCTCTTCAGAACGACGTCGGTTTTTACATTAGTATTTTTTTTTAATGGATCCAGAGGTGGCTGTGAACCAAAACGCGGCTTTTGAGCCTTCTCCAACGGTAGGCGAGAAACGAGGGATCGAAAACGGGGATGTGTCCGTGTCCAAGAAGCAGCGATGCGGTGGGGAATTAAAAAGAGTGGCGCAGATAGTGCTGGTGCTGTCGGCGATGGGGAAGATGAGGGGCGGAGGGAGGAATCCCACAGCGGCGGAGACGGCGTTGATGGCGGAGGCGCGTGAGACATTAGCAGAGATGTGCGTAGAGATGGCGCCGAAGGATATTGTCGGGAGGGAGGCGATAGGGAATGTGATTGAAGAGTTGGGCCTTAATTCCAAACTCAGAGAGCAGAGATTAGGGTTTAGGGGTACGGGAATGTCGATTTCTCAGAAGGTTTTGTTTGCTAAAATGAAGGTAAAAAAGGTCTTAAATTTATAACCTTTTTTGGGTTTTGGGGGGATTTAGGATTATGGTTAGGGTTTATTTTATTCTTCTAATGAATTTTTGGCATTAAATTGGCTTTTAGATGGTCAGGAATTATGGGTAAATTTGGATTTGTTTGGATTTTATATTTTTTACTTAATTTATTTTGATTTATATTGGTCAATAACTATATTGTGCAGACTTTAATTTTTTTTTTTTTAGGGTTTAGGGTTTACGTGAGAATTTGTCCTGAAATTGAGGCCTGCCAAAAAGGTTTTTTTGCTTGTAATTAGGAACTTTAAAGGTCTCAATGTATTGTAAAATTTGATGTTCTTGTTGGTTTTAAAAGTGAATTTCGGGGGATTAAGGGTTTTGTGTGAACGGTGAAACTTTTAACTTGGTTTAAATTGCGCATAAGAAGAAGGTATACTAGGGTTTTAGTAACTATTGGCAGGTTTTAGTCATTTTTACTCTGATATTCTCTGTGGCTTAGTTGTTACTTTCTGGGTTCATGGTTTTGGGCACTGAAACTGGGCATGGCTTAAAGTGGTTTCTCAGTATAGAGTGAAAGATGCCTTTGAATCATAGGTTGCCTTAAAGGGTTGCGATACCATTCTACCATGGTAATGTAATTTGATGTGCTGTTATATTTAGCTTCTTGAACAGCTTGACATTTTTTAGCAAGAATACTATACTAATCATGCTATCCAAAGGAATCTTTCTATTGTTCTCCTAAATTATGCAGCATTCTCATGATTTTTATGAAGGTAATATTAACTTTTTGGTTAGCAAATTCCTCTTTCCATGATCTATGTGCTGCCAAGCTTTTCAGCTCTTTTATTAAAAGAACATCCTTGTTGGGCATTGTAAATGATGGAAAAGTTTGTGGTATTTAAGTTACTTAGGATTAATAATGGAAGCTGAGTGTTTGATTACCTTAATGCTTTTCCAGATGGAAGAACCCAAGAAATTTAATGCACCTGCTATATATACATCTCAGTCATTGCAAACAAATGTCATTGGATCAGCCGAAAACCGTGGAGCATCACATGCAGTTCACATTTTACCATCAGATCGACCAATTCATGCAACTGTATCTTCTGGAAGCTTCCCAGTTTCTTTGCCCCCTGCTCATGTTACAACTGCAGGTTCAACTTCCTTACAGCATCAATTGCCCTCCAGTGATGTAAAAATGCCTTCAATGTCTACTGGACTGCCAAGTGGCCATATAGGTAGGGATTCGTCTTCATTTGCATACCCCAGGGTTGAAGGACCACAAATTAAGTTGGATGGAGGATCAAATGTGGCTTCTTATGTCTCCCAAGTACCAGGTAATTCTCTCTTCCATCATGTCTTCTTCCCTTGGTAGCAAACAAAATTGAGGACCCTATTTACATATCATTTGGAATTTTTTGGGCTTTGTATTTAGTATTATCAAGAGATTTGATAATATGGCATACTTCCTTTTTCCATGGATGGGGGAATGGTTTTCTCGGCTTGCAATGGTGTTCTATTATGGTTAGCAAATGATCATGCCATGGTCTAGCTAATTCTAATACTTTTGTTTCTTTACTCAAATGTGCTGCTATTATATTACTACTATTCTTTCCCTTGGTTCTGCTAAACATTTAAGCATCCTTATCCATACATCATATCTGAATTCATGCAAATATCGTCTGTTTCAGCTAATTCTTCAGCAAGCCATCCACTTGTGAATGCTCCAACTTGGTCTATACAGGCTCAACCTGCAGTATTAGCCAAATTCAGTCAAGAAAACAAGGTTTTGACACATAATCCTACTAAGATTGAAGGAAGTGCTGGTCTGACTACATCACAAATGGCTCCTCAAGCAGTGAGAGACCAAACCTTTAGACCATTCATTACTCAAACTGCAACTGGAACTTTTCCAAGTGTGCACCAACCTGTGCAAGGCATGAACTTTGCACAAGCTCCTCCATCTATTAATAATCACAATGAAATTGCTCGAATTGTTCAAAAGTTGTTACAACCAAAGCTTCCAGAGCATCCTACTTGGACTCCTCCTTCTAGGGAGTATATGAATAAGGCTTTGACTTGCCAAACATGCAAACTTACCATTAATGAAGTGGAAACTGTGCTGCTTTGTGATGCATGTGAGAAAGGATTTCACTTGAAATGTTTGCAGTCAAACAATCAGAAAGGAATCCCTAGAGGTGAGTGGCACTGTGCTAGATGCTTGTCATTGTGCAATGGGAAGCCTTTGGCCCCTAAATATGGTCGTGTCATGAGAAATATCAATGTACCCAAAGTGCCTTCTAGCACAGCTGAAGCTCAGTCATCTTCAGAGAAGAAAGTGGAAAATCTAGACCTAATGGTCAATCATGAGAAGGTAACAGCAAATGGAAGCTCTGCTTTACAGACACCTGCTGTGGCTGGTACAGCGGACAGCAACTCTGTTGAGTCAGCATCTGGTTCTAAGATTCTAAAAGGGAACTTGACAAAACCTTTGGAGGCTGTATGTGATTCTCCTTCTGTTGCCACAGTAAGTGACAGACCTGAAGAACATTCTCAAATAACTGAATCATCTATTCCTGAAGAAAGAAAAGATCCTGCACCAGCATCACAACCTGCTGATACATCATCTAACACAATCAGCAACAAGGTGGATCATTCACAGCCTTTACATAACTCACAAGATAACCAAACAGGGCAGCAAAACTGTGCTGAAGTTCCTTTGAATAATTGTCATGATGAAAGTTCTGGTGTTAAAGATTTGGAGAAAGGCTTTTTGAAAGGAGATATTGACTGCAGTATCAGGAGTAATCAAAATGAACAAGATGCTGCAGTTGCACAAGTAAATTCTATTGGAAATTCTGGAGCTACTATTGAGATTTCAAGGCATCCTGAGTTTTCTTCTGATGGTTTGCATACTGTTGAATGGACTGGTGATGTATTTCAAGTTGCGGATGGGAAAAAGTTTTACCAGTCTTGTTGCATTGATGGCATAACTTATAAAGTGCATGATCATGCTCTTGTTCATTCTGGCCAGGATAAACTGATACCATCCAAGCTTCAGGTGAGCATGTTTGGAAAATTTATATTGAGACTGCTGGTCACAATAACCTGTAAAAACAAGCTTCATAATTTTGGATCTTCACTGCAGGCAATGTGGGAGGATGGTAAAACTGGGTCAAAGTGGGTAGTTGTGAAAAGGTGCTATTTTCCTAGTGATTTGCCGGAAGCTGTTGCTCATCCATGTAACCCCGAAAGCTGTGAGGTAATCTGTTTTCTCATGCATGTTTATGTTGATTGTTTCCTCACTATTCTTCTATCTTTTGTCAAGGATAAGAAGACTGTCGTAGTGGCAAATAAAATTCAATGGTTGCCAATAGTTCTTTTTGTTGTTCTTTGCAGGTTTATGAATCTAATAACGATAGCACTGTCATGGCAAGCTTGATTCAAGGCCCATGTGAAGTTCTCCCTGCTGCTAAATTTGAGGAAGAAAGGGAAAGACGAAGTCAGATAGGAATTGCGGCAAATGAAGGATTAAGGGCAATTTTTTTGTGCAAGTATGTATATTCATTTGATAAATTTAGCATGTGTTAAAACACATGATGAATTGGATTGACTAATGATGGAACTATTCATTCTGCAGATGGCTTTACGATGAATTCAAAGGAAGCTTTCAGCCTATATCAAATTAATATGGTTATGCATCTGCATACTTAGCATGCCATCACTTTTTCTGTGGCAAATTATATCCTCAACTCATCAGGTAATCAAATTAACAATATCTTGATCATACAAGAGAAACTTTGTTTCGCAATTAGCTTGTATTACCCGGACCCATTTAATTTTTTGAAACATTTTTGGATATACTTATATAACTGATTATGTCAAAGCAGGTTAAATTCCTTGCTCAAGGCCTAACTTCGCCTATTGGGCTTAAATAGGCCCGGTTACTGTTTAAACAGTATTGAAATACCGAAAGCCATTTTTTATTAATATTTTATATATATTTTTAAAATTGAATTTAAATAAAAATTTGTTGTTGTTTAAACAATGTTTTGGATCCAACTCAAGGCTTCAAAATTTGTATATCCAAGGCTCGGCCCGAGATAAGTTCGAACTATAGGTCATCATGCAAGTAACACGACTCATCTACCAATCTAATTTGAAGAAAGAGGTGGACTTCTCCTACTTTATCTTTAGAGTAAATAATAATTAAAATTTATTAGAGGTGTTTATTAAGTTGGTTCAACTATTGAATTAAATTATTTAAAATCAAAATAATTAAATTATGTTATTTTATTTTTATTAATCGAATTAAGTTTTTTAATTTTGAAAATTAACTGATCAAAATTAATTTAGTTAGTTTAATTAATATTTTTGGTTAATCAAGTAATAAAATATATTAAACTCAATTATATTTTAAATTTTTAATATTTAAAATAAATTAAATAAAATAATCTAACAAAAATATTTAAATACTAAAATATTAAATTAAAAATTTTAATAATTTGAAATGAAATAGGTAATTTCATATTTTTTTGTTTTATATATAAGTTTTAATATATTTCGTTTAAAATTTTGATTTAAAAATTAAATTAATTAAATTTCAAAATTTTGAAATTCTTTAAAAATTATATTCAATAATTGATTGAAATTAATTTAATAAATAATCGATTAATCGAATTAAATTAAATTCGATCGATTAGTTTAGTTAAAATCAAATAACGAATATTTTTAAAATTTACTATTCACTTAGCAGTGCTTAATCCAGTCATTAAACGGATTTTGCTTGTAGAACAGGTAATCATGAAATATGTAATGAAGCATGATATAAGAATTGAGGGGGACAAGAGAAAGGAATAAAATGAACATTTCAATAACTTACATAGCTTTTTCCTATCAAGAAAAAAAAAAAAAAAGAAATACTAGTAAGCATTGAAAAAAATCATTTTTCTGCTGAAGTTCATGGATCCAATCAATTAATTATTCTCATATGAAAATTGAAATATGAAAAAACCCTAAATTTCATGCAAATCATAGCTGCTATTCCCAATACCTACTAGAGTTATGCTGCTATGGGCAAGGGAGCAAACAGACATCTGCATTCAAAGCCTTTTGGTTCCTTCTGGTTTATCCCATTTTTTGTATCAATATTTCCTCATTCTATGGATCTCTCTACTTTTCAACTACCTATTTCTGGCACAGATGAAATGCTCTAAAGACTCTTCACCACTCCTTTGGAGAAAAATATATATATATATATATAAAGTTTAATTTAATTGATTCATATAATAATTTTTTAAAAAATAACATTTAATAAGAGCAGTTTAGTGAGTAAAACTCTTGCTATACATAAAATCTAAAAAAAAAATCCGATTCATTAAATCTAATGTGTGTAACCTTATTTTATATTTTTAAAAGAAATTATTTTCATGAAAAAAATAATTAATATAAATTTAAAATTTAAATTTCAACACCTATAATTCTTCTGATTATCCTTATACTGCAATTGTCTTTTGTAAAAAAAAAAATAAATAAAATAATTGCCTTTTCAACATTTTTTTGGAAAAAACCATAGATATATATATATATATATTCGAAGTTTAATTTAATATATTCGTATAATACATTTAATAAGAGTTGTTTGATGCATAAAATTAGTTATGCATAAGATCTGAAGAAAGATCGAAATCATTGAGTTTAATGTACGTAACTTTATCTTACCATACATATTTTTACAAAAAATAATAAGTAATATAAATTTAAAATTTAAATTTCTAACACTTATAATTTCTCTCTTGAAATGCAGTTGTATTTGATAAAAAACAAAGACAAATTAAGGTTTAAACTTTCAATCACTAATTTTGTTTAATTAATGTTTATTTTAATCTCTAACAATCTTGTGAAGTGTAACTCAATCATATCCTAACATGAAACCTAGCTAGCTATCTCTATAACAGAAAAGTATAAGAAAAGAAAGCATTAACATAATCTTTGATTATATATAAATTATTGATAGATGCTATAGCCTATTAAATGCTTTCTTCTTGGGTACCTTGACTTTTGACTTGCTTTGTCGATAGAGACCCCAACCTTATGTTGGGAATTTGCCAGATAAATCCAAAACCAAAACAATTTCCTATCCATGAATGATTTACAGGAAGGCTGTTCCTTGTTTGTGTTGCATGATCATGCTTTGAATATGGTGAGAGAGATCTATCAAAGATGATGCAAATATTCAACTTTTGTCAGCCTATTAGAAGCTATGAACCTGGTTTATTAAGCACACTAGCTACTTAACGAATTAAGATGTCAACCTTATACTTGTTTCAATGCTAAGAATCATTTGTGTGAGATGAATTTTAACAAGTTCATAATAATAGTTCACTATGAAATTTGGATTCGGAGATGAGTATCGGATATGGGTAAGAATTTATTATTAAATATTTTTATTTAGAGAATCATATTTTTTTATTTATGTATATTGAATATAAACGATAGACATCTCATTTTATCGAATATATTTTTATCTATTTAGCGGTGTTAAAGATCATTTTTTTTTTCTAAATCTTTATCTTTTAGGTTCTTTTGTAAGAGGATAATTCAAATCTATGAAGTTCAAAGTAAAAAAAGGGAAATGAATGACAAAAACTCAGTCATAAGTTATGACAATTCTATAGCATAACTACCATCTTTTTTGACCATTCCAATTTCACTTTTAACCACACTCAAAACCCTTTTTACCTGAAATCAAGTTAAAAATTAATGCATATAATCAATCAACTCCATCAATCCTTATGAAAAAAAAAAGGGATAATCTTTTGGAATGGAAAGCATAAATTCAAAGCTAGGGTAGGTGCCAAAACATTAAAATAAGAGAAGGTGCATGTTCTAATTGCATGGCTTGTTGAATAATTATATTAAGTGTAATAGAAGCAAAGACCTAAGTGATGTAGGTCAGTTGGAGGTTATGGTAAAGGCAAGGCTGAAGAAGAAGAAGAAGAAAAATGGTCCAACCTTGTTTCACGTGAACTGCCGACCATCATGGCCGTGGTGTAGACTTTAAGGGAGAATTGGTGAAAAAGAAACAAGGGATCAAAGAGGGGTCAGTACAGAGAAAAAATAGAACAAGAGTTTTTATTTTTTTAATTAGATTTATTGCAGTTAAAGAAAGAATTTTTTTTTTATATATAATTGTTATTTTTTTAATATCTATAATTGTCAAAAATTGAATTATGATAACTACAAGTAAGAATTCAATATTCTATTAACGGGACACATCCGGAATTGATAAATTAAATTATATTTTCGTTTGTCAAGGATTGAATAAAAAAGGGTTACGTAATCGATAGATTTATCAAAATTCAACTATGTTTAATTTTATTAGTTTATGAAATTATCTTTTCGAGATGACATCTAGTAAATTTGATATTCAAATCTTATCACCTACATTCTTTTTTTTTATCCTCAAACTATGATTTCTTTTGTACCAAAAATTTAACCCCTTTCACTTTAGTTTTAGAGCGTTGGAGGATACATGCAAACTTACTAATTATGTGTTTATATCTAATTATCAGTGGAGGCTTGAGACCTCTATCAGTCCAAAAAAAAATGAATTCATGTGTTCGAATCTTAGATAAAGTTTCAAAAATTTCATTGGTCCGATTTATTTCTTGTTGAGATTAATATTGATTATATCCTTCGTAATTATCAAAGTAGAGAAAGCATTTTCATCCATGAACATTTTGAGGACTCGTTTACATAATCAAATAAAAAATCAATATTTAAATGATAGTTTAATTGTGGACATTTAAATAAAATATATATTAAAAAATATTAATAATAAAGCTATTGTGCAATTTTTCAAAATATGAAATATCATCAAAGGACAATTTTAAAACTTTTAAAATTTATGACAAGATATGAAAGTTTTAATTTTTTATTACTATTATCATTATTTTTATTATTATTATGTTTTAATAATTTAATATATTTGAATTAAGTTCCATTAGATAAAATTTTTAGCTCCATCACTATAATTATAGTATAATTTGTGTTTGCTCAAGTCCTCCAATGGGGATGGAGATGGTTATTGCCACTTGCAAAAAGGAACCTTTTAGCCATGCAAATGGTAATAAGAACTATCAAGCACACACTCCTTGCATGCTTGTATACACCATGATTAAATGGATTTGTGACATTTCATTGTCAATCTTATTATTAGTCATTTGTGTCTGCCTTCCATTAATTGCTTCATCCACATAAGATTAAACCATCAATTATCTAATTTATTAGTAGATAAATATACAACTTTATAAATCTAATATTCAGTATGATCACATGTTCAATCTTAAATTATTTCTATAATTTGGCTTTATGTATATGTATATGATTGAGATCTAATATTTGTCAAATGATAATATTACTATGTAAAACAAAAATATATACTTTGGTATAAAAAAATTTGCAGTTTGACAATAAGGAATGATTTATGAGTGTTGAAATTTGAATTTTAAACCTATTTGATATTATCTCTTTAAAATATTATATAAATCAATTGAATTAAAATTTGAATTCAATATATATATATATATATATTGATAATATAGTCATGATACATACTTAGTAGTGAGTTTGAATTCCATCGCACCTTCAGTGCGGTACAATTGAGCTCACTGCATCGTCAGTTGAATATGAATATTAACTGCAATGAGATTAATTTAGTATAAATTTTTTTATGAAATTTTTTTTTAAATTGTAGTTACTATAACTTTCTTTTTTAAAATCGCAACTACAATCATTTTTATTGTTATTTTCAATTTTATCATAACCCATCCAAATGAATCCTTAATTTAAAAGTACAGTTTCCCCACATGGCTATAAAAGGTTTTTGCACAAGTAAACAACACTAATCCAACAAAGACTAGTAGTCTAATTAGTAGTTAAAAGGAGATATAGGTACAAAATGAACCTTG